GTAAACACGTTCAGACATGCTCAGTCTGCTTTAACATGATGCTTGAAGTCACTCATTGGCTTTGCATTGGGCTTTCTAAGCCTTGCACCCTTAAAGGCAGGCCTGCATTTCGTCCTGTCTTACAGGACTTAGTTAAAGGCATCAGGGGTAAGCGGTCTGCACCTCTATTTAAGTGTCTACCTGGACAAATAGGGAAGGGGGAGCATGACTGCTGCCCAGGATAGTGGGATGGAATAATGGGAGCAACAATGTTGCAAAGGTGGAGGAGACTTACCAGTCAGAAAGAGCTTGTCATACACCCTGTCTGAATTTTTTTCTCCCTGTATGACATTTCTCCTTGGCTGTTGCGGAGTACCTGGGCCTGCAAAACCAAAATAAATATATCATCATACCGGTTAGCTGTCCCTGGGAGTAAAGGACAAGGAGAACACTTTAATATGGCCACCCCATCTCTGGAGGAACTGGTGAGAATGATGGCAGCTTACCAGGAGTCGCACGGATCGTTGGACCAGGTGCTGGCTTATGTTCAGCAGGCTGCAGGAGGACGGCAAGATCGGCGCAAGGGAGCTGAGACATCGCTGAGCGGACGGAGGGCCAGGAGATCGAGGCCTCCGTCGCGTCTATCCCCGAGTCCTGTGCGGTGGAGAGGAGGTAGGGGTGCCCAGCGGTCCGAGGTCGGGAGCGGTGATTCCGGGCACTAACCAGCGCAAAGAGCGGGGAGGGCCGGACAGGTGATGGCTGATCCCGGGTCCCAATATGGCGGCGATCAGGATGGCGGGAACCCGGCCGGAAGTTGTGCGGCACTTTGAGTTGGAAGGGGATAATTCGAACGTGATGCGTAAGGATGGGGTCCACTTACCCCCGATTGGGCTGGACATATTTAATGTGAGGTTGCAATCAGGCATTGATTTGGCGCTGTCTGCGGAGGGGCGCGAAGCCGGCACAGATGAGGCTACGGAAGGACGGCTTCGCGGTGGCAGTTTTCCCTGGACAGCGGAATCGAAAAAGAAAGGAGTATGACGCAAGGTCACCTTGGGGAAACGACAGTCGGCGCAAGGCTGAAGGCTAGTGACGGCTGTGTTGGGCTCTTGGAGAATAAGGATGGAGAACTGTCTGTTGGGTCCTCACCCAACAGCTGACAGGAATTAAGAATTTTTACTGTTTAATAAAGCTGTGGCCGTTGGTGGGATGGTATATGGGTCAGCAGTCAAGTGTCCCCCTGGACAAATAGGGAAAGGGGAGCATGACTGCTGCCCAGGATAGTGGGATGGAATAATGGAAGCAACAATGTGGCAAAGGTGGAAGGACTTATAAGGGGGGAGCAGGGGAGGAGACTTACCAGTCAGAAGGAGCTTGTCATACACCCTGTCTGAATTTTCCCACCCTCCCTCCCTGGTTTGTGTTGTTGTGTGCTTGGTGGTTTCTCGTGTGTTTTCTCATTGTCACAGCTGGAAAGGAGTATGACGCAAGGTCACCTTGGGGAGACGACAGTCGGCGCAAGGCTGATGGCTAGTGACGGCTGTGTTGGGCTCTTGGAGAACTGTCTGTTGGTTCCTCACCCAACAGCTGACAGGAATTAAGAATTTTTACTGTTTAATAAAGGTGGGATGGTATATGGGTCAGCAGTCAAGTGTTTGTTACTTCCCAAATTTATAGATTTATAGTGTTAAACAGGGTTGACCTCATTAGGTCAGGTGTTGAGTACAATGGGTTAAATTGTCAATACCCAAAAAGTCAGTGATCACGATCTAGCACCCCACCATCTAATCTATACTAACCACTGAGATGGACAAGGATACATTTTTCATATTTAACTTTTTAAAAAGTATTATCTACATGTAACAGGGAAGTGAACCTATGTTAAATATGCACACGTGTACATCTATTTGCAACATATCTATTCCAGTGTCAAATCTGCTTACCAGAGGAAATACTGAGCAGTTGCATAATAGTGGTTAAAACAATGCTGCTTTTGGTTCTTAAATTTACAGCTCACAGCTTACAAATCACATCTCAGGAATCCTCAATATTTTTTATGGGACGTTAGTGGTGTATGTTCATTTTTTGTGTGTGCGGCCACATCTCCCAATGACATCAAGAATACTAAATATTGCATAAATAATATTCACAGCAATATTCATTAAAGTGCAAATTGTCAGAAATGTAAAGTGAATTTCAAAGTGCAAGCCAAAATAACCAAATTGAAGACATTTAGAGAATTTGTCTAGTATGAGGTAGGTAAGGGACAATAACTTTGTACAGACTCATATCTACCAGCTTATTGGTACCTCTCCCTTGTGTGGCAGATGAATACATGATTAAAAACTTTTTGTGGAGGAAATAAAAAAATTATTTGTCATACCCAGATAAACCTATATCTTTGCATGAGGGCATCCAGAGTCCATAGGAAAACACTGAATCACTGGAGGCCTAATGCACGCACAGTGCCCGCTAGGTTTCCCCTCATCACTGATGTCAGAGGAGGCAGAGTCATAATAAGGTGAGTGTGAAAATGTTTTAACTCTTTATTTGCCAGTGGAGAAGATGAGGGGGTGTAGAAGAGGAAGAGAGACAATTTAGTGTTAGGAATACAGTTTTGAATTCCTAACACTGTGTTCCTTTAAAAATCAAATGATGAACACAGCAAGTGCACTTCATCAGGGTACACTTCAAGTACCAAAACCTCTATAGCCTTCTGTAGTGATTTTCACTTACCTGGGCCTGCAGTCACACCACTGCATCTTTTCTTCTAGTACAGAAGAATCTGGATTTATTTACAGAGCAAGGCAGGGCTATGAGCAGTCCTGCATCAACTGTTCTTTATTCTCAATCTCTGCCCCCCAATTGTTCATAGCCTACAACTCCCAGAATTGTTTGAATGCAATAGATGGATAGAGAATCATGGGAGGTGTAGTTTAGCAACATCTGGGGGTCCAGAGTTGAGATGCCTGCTATGGAGACATTTAGCTTCACCCGCAGGAAGAGACTGAACACTGTGCAGGCACCCGAGGGACCCAGGTAAATTGACAAACCATACTTAAAGGAGCACTATAGTGCCAGGAAAACTATAGGGTTATTAGGTCACACCCTCCCTCGTGGCCTCCCTCCTGCTGGGCTGAAGGGGTTAAAACCCCTTCAGCCACTTACCTTAACCCTGCGCCGGACTGGTGACCTCTCCTCCCCTGCCTATGTCAGCTGCCAAGTGGAGTCAAATGCGCATGCGCTGCCAGAGCACATTCAAACCGCCCATAGGAAAACAATACTCAATGCTTTCTTATGGGAATCTGAACTCACGCTGCATATGTTCAATATGATTTTCACACTGAGGCTGGATTAACCCTGCAATGTAAACATAGCAGTTTCTCTAAAACAGCTATGTTTTCAGTTACAGGGTTAAAACTAGGGGGACCTGGCACCCAGACCACTTTGTTGAGCTGAAGTGGTCTGGGTGCCTATAGTGATCCTTTAAATGGTTTATCTACTCACTGTGGGAAAGTGGCAGGGTTGATGCTTGGCATGTACCTTTAATATAAGATTTGATTTGCATTTGACTCTTGTGAGTTGTTCATTACACCAGGAATAGTTTTTTGTCAACTTACCACAGTTCACCATTCAGTAAAAACAAACTAACTCCTTTGGTAGGTTACAAAGGTGCACCTTATTCACCTTACTCCTGTCATCATTTTGTATATAAATATCAGTTGAGATGTCCAATAAAGCATTCTCGCATAGTGATGCCCCGAACGGTTCGCCGCACGGTTCGCCATGAACGGTTCCCGGCGGAATCATCATTGAGTAAACTTTGACCCTGTACCTCACAGTCAGCAGACACATTCCAGCCAATCAGCAGCAGACCGTCCCTCCCAGACCCTCCCACCTCCTGGACAGCATCCATTTTACATTCATTGTGAAGCTGCATTCTTAGTGAGCTGTCCAGGAGGTGGGAGGGTCTGCTGCTGACTGGCTGGAATGAGTCTGCTGACTGTGAGGTGCAGGGTCAAAGTTTACTCAATGATGAGTCCGTGGCGAACCGTTTGTGGCGAACCGTTCGCGAACCATTCAGCGAACCGTTCGGGACATCACTATTCTCGCATATTGAATTTTCGTCCATACGGTTTCTGCAGAGCTGTGGCTAGATAAAGGTTCTATAATCGAGACAGCTCTTGTCTGGGGAAAAGATCACGCTGAGCAGCTTGTATGCCTTTAAATTTACCCCCATCAGGGGATATTATTCTACTCTTTCACTTTTAAGCAGTCTACATAATATGCATTACAACTATAAAACATACTTTACTTTAATGCAATTCTGGGTGGCCCTTGTAGCAATGTCAGATATTACAGCCTTGATTTCATATTTTTGGTTAAGCTTTTCAATTAATTTAATATTGTTGGACACATTTTTAAAATTATTATTTTCAAAATTTTACAATTTAAAAAAAAAAAAATGAAAATATTTTTTAGAATATTAAATCATTTTAAATGTTTATCCAGAGTATTAAATAATTTGAAAAGCTTATCCAAAAAAAAAAATGTATTATTAAATTGAGGCCTATATCAAATATAATTTTCCCATGATTCCCTGTGTGCATTGCCTAATGGGTTATTTGCACTCTATGTCATGCTATATTATCATAACTTTGCATTTGATTCAAAATCCAAATGAAATATAAATAGTGTTTTTTTTAAATTTATTTAAAGTAAAACAAATAATATAAATACTCTTTTAGTTAGCAGTTATAATGTACCTTTCCCTCTGAAGTGACAGTTCTTATTTCAGTTGACAATTCCTATGTAAATGTAAGAAATGTTTATAGATGATCACAACTATACTTTTATATTATTTCTCTAATTTCTTTACAGAAGACAAAATTCAGAAGCCATAGATTAGTGCAATATTTTGTTTTTTTGATTTATCACAATACTATAATTATATATACACACACAGAGTGACCAACGCGTAGGTATATATTATAATTTATTAGCATTTTATTACATTGTTTGTCACATTTAAATTCGTTTAACACTATTTAATTTCACAAGCACTCAAAATGTCTTAAATCAGCGTTGCAACATTCTTCAAGCATATCCAGTACACTGTGACACACCGTACGAAACAAATTCTGGTCCACATCAATGTCCTTAAATGCTTCAGAGATGAACTGTTTTAATTCGGCCATTACCTGGGATTCCTCTCCAAAACCTTATGCTTTACTACACACCAAAAAAAATAAGTTTATTGGTGTTAAGTCTGGTGAATGGCGGGGGCCATTCAATGCTGCCACATCGTCTGATCCAATGCTGTGGAAAGGTGTTGTCAAGGTAGTCCCTTACAGCATTATGAGGAGGTGCCCCGTCTTGCTGGGAAAAAAAAAAAAGCTATGATGGGGCTAGATCAGCACAAGGAAAAGATTGGCAAATAGGGGACCAGGAGATGCAATAAAAATAGAAAACAAGAAGGGTAAGATGTGGAGAATTTAAAAAGCAAGATGGAATAGGGAATGGAAAAGGAAGATGGTATGCTAGGTACGCTGAGATTAGCGGAAATTAAAATCCTTGGTGGCTGCCATCGTAATAATGGTGGAATCTGCTGCTCCGTAGTGTAACTTCCACTAATACAGATTGAGGAACAGCTCACACACAAAAAAAATACAGTTTTACATTTTACAAGGCTACTTAAAATCAACTATCTTAGCAAACAAATTTGGGGATTCAGTTACGCCATATCGTGTTCAGCTTACCACTACATCACAGTACCCCAATATTGGTAGATCCTACACTAATTTTAACATGGGAGATTTACATGGTAACTTGCCATACTTACAACTTAAACTGTTTCCAGAGACTCTCCTCAATTATTGCTTTCCTTTAGTCACCTCCAAAGGAGCAACTTCCAGTAATCCCAGGCAGACCAGAGTATATATGCCCTGGTTTGCCTGAAATTAGGGCAGTTATTAGATGACACTTGGGCATGCCTCCCAATAGTACCAGTTTTGGCAGGACAATCCTGATTTTTGGGTTATTTTTCGATGTCCTGCCTTAGTTCTCTGCTGTCCCAGTTTTGGGGACACCAAGGAACTGTCCCCAACAATCATAGCATGAGCGCATCATAAGTTGCAGTCGCACTGTGTTCAGGGCACTTAGTCGGCTGGCTAAAATGATTGGCAGGCAGTCTGGTGTGATTCACCAGACCCCTTTTTGTGCAGGTCTTTCTCCTTTGGGTGCTTCTCAGGCCCCATCCTCTTTACCTGCTCCCACCAGTGTCCTGATTCTGGCACTGCCGATGTTGGGAGGTATGAACTAGGGACACCGACAGTCCTGCATGATCTGAACTACAAAGTAACCAGCATTAGAAGGAAAGGACAGCCATGGAATCAAAAAGTAAGGATTCTGTAGCTGTTTATAGTTTCTCTGACTGTCTGCAGCCAGGTTGTGTATTAAAAGCAGCTCACTCAGTGCTATTAGAGGGAGATTTATGTGCATACGTTTGATAAGGAAGTCATTCTGCCATGAGGGGGCGTTGCTACGTAGGGAGGTTTATGGTGCAACATTATTTTTTGTGCAGAAACTATAAAGATTTGAGCCTGCAAAAAATGAGGTCAAAACCTATCAAATGCGTAGGAGTGTCAATTAAGTATGAGAGAGCTTATTTATTGACTCACTTATCCATTCATCCTCTAAATGAGATTCAAGTCTAATGAAATATTTCTCTATCTCTTTTTTTATACTCACACTAGTATTATCCAAATTATTTTTCTCAAACTCATTTTTAAATGTCAGTTGACAAGATGGACATTTGTGAAAAGTACTCAGGAAGATATACTTAAACAAACTATAGTTATTACATAACCTATTTTTCCTTTTACCAGTTTTCTCTTTGAAGTCAGGATTTCCAAGGTCTCCGGCTAGACATTTGGTCCATGTAAGTCAAATTTAGTTGTCCTTTGAGATGGCAAGACAGGTCAAAATGATTTAATATATGTAGGATCAATTACATTCAGTTATAGTTTATATTTCTATTGGTATACTTAGATTCAAATTCTTGGAACACTGTTGACACATTGCAAAAAATTTCCTCACTTCAAAGGCAAAGCCTTATGCATTATTTTGTCTATACTCTCTGTTTACAGTTTGCTTTGTGTGTTTGGTGTGAATACTGACATCATTTGCGTGAGATATAATCAGTATGATAGCTTCAGAGCCATTTTTGACATTTAGACTGGTCTAACTGCTTTTCAAAGCCACAGCTTTGTGTCACTGTGTACACATGGAGCGGTTACTTGACTGCTGACCCATTACCATCCCACCGTTGCCCCAAATAAAACACTGGACACCTTTTAAGTGGATAAGGGCAACGGCCACAGCTTTATTAAACAGTAAAAAACTTAATTCCTAATTCCTGCCAGCTGTTGGGTGAGGACCCAACAGGCAGTTCTTCTTTGTTCGCCAAGAGCCCAATCCAGCCGTCGCTAGCCATCAGCCTTGCGACGACTGTCGTCTCCCCAAGGTGACCTTGCGTCATACTCCTTTCCTTTTCGCTTCCGCTGTCCAGGGAAAACCGCCTGCTGTGACAATGAGAGAAAACAAAACACGAAACCACCAACACACCACAACACCAAACAGGGAGGGAGGGAGGGAAATTAAACCAGGGTGACTGACTATCTCCTTCTGACTGGTAAGTCTCCTCCCTTGCTTCACCTTTATGAATCCTTCCATCTTTGCAACATTGTTGCTACCATTGTACCATCCCACTATCCTGGGCAGCAGTCATGCTCCCCCTTCCCTATTTGTCCAGGGGGACACTTGACTGCTGACCCATTACCATCCCACCGTTGCCCCCAAATAAAACACTGGACACCTTTTAAGTGGATAAGGGCAACGGCCACAGCTTTATTAAACAGTAAAAAACTTAATTCTTAATTCCTGCCAGCTGTTGGGTGAGGACCCAACAGGCAGTTCTCCTTCTTTGTTCGCCAAGAGCCCAATCCAGCCGTCGCTAGCCATCAGCCTTGCGACGACTGTCGTCTCCCCAAGGTGACCTTGCGTCATACTCCTTTCCTTTTCGCTTCCGCTGTCCAGGGAAAACCGCCACCGCGAAGCCGACCTGCCGCAGCCTGATCTGCGCCGGCTTCGCGCCCCCCCGCAGACAGCGCCAATTCAATGCCTGACTGCAGCCCCACATTAAAGATGTCAAGCCCAATGGGGGTTAAATGAACTCCATCCTGACGCATCACATCCGAATTATTCCCTTCCAATTCAAAGTGTCGAACCACTATTCCACCCAAACTACGTACAAAACGCGAAATAGCTACATTAATCTTACGCCTACAGCGTTCCAACGCCTTCCCATAACCTCCCACCTTCCACACCGGGCGGGGCACTATCTCTGACCAGATTAATGTCAAGTCACGAAAAAGCGCAAAACAGCGCGCTAGATCATGACGCATGTCGTGAATGAGATCCACCGACCTCCGTCGGCCAACGTCATTCCCGCCCGCATGCACTATCAACGTCACTGGTCCCGTGACGCAGCGACTCAGCTGCTCGCACTCCCCGTACACCTGATCCCAACGTAACCCCCTCAATCCCCGCCAACGTACCCGAACTTCCTGAGACGGGAACCCCAAATTACGACCATGCGATCTGTCCTCCGCCCTCCTAGCCGCCCAGTAAATATACGAATGCCCCAGGATCCACACATAACGAGGAACTTGGCCTACAAAACAAAGAATAACGGTTAACTCACATGTCTACAGAGGCATACCATCACAGCAAATGAGGGCGCACGCAAAGCTGGAACCGTCCTGACTCCCAGCGCCCCAGGTGCATTAGTGCCTCCTTCGGGAAACCCAGTTCGCTCGCCTGCGTCGCCGCTCCTATTCTAAAGGAATGTGAGGAATACCACCTGGGGTCCCCACCCAACCTGACAATGCAACTCCGCAAGAGGCTCGCAAATTGGAAACGGCTCAGTGAAGATCCATTAAGATGGACCAGCAATGAGCCCTCCGCGCCACCCCTGGCGCCCAGATAGGCTTGCAACAAGTACCCCGGACAAAATACACCCCCAGTAAGCCCGATACGTACCCTCGCTCCCAGGCCTGCCTGGTCCGTCTTAGACCGCCGAATCACCAGAGTCACGCACTCCGGCGTCACTGAGACGTCGGAAAGCTTCAACGCTGACACCGAGTTCGCCCTGGGGGCTACCAGCTCACCGATCCGCAGCGCCCCAAAGAAGCACAAAGAAAATGCCACCCTAAATAACAGTACCTCGTATGTAGAGCTACACACTTCCGGAAGAACTTCCAACAGCTGCAGCAGCATGGCCCCCGAGATCGGCCGCCTTTTGTCGGGAACGCGCCGCTTTTTCCACCCTTTTAGAATGCGCGACACACAGAAAGCCTTGGTGACATCTGACCAACCTAAAAAACGAAATAAAAAGGAGAGAGCAGCCAACGATTGTTCCGCCGCTGCAGCCGACCTACCTGCGGCACACAACGACTCCAAGAACGACAGCGTAATGGTCAATCTTCCGGAGTCAGACGCCGCCTCACCGCTCCTACCCCTGGCCCACCAGCGCTCCCAGATGGCGGAGTAAGCCCTCCAAGACGACTCAGATAAGGACCCCCGAATCAAACGTCTCAAATGTCCGAAACCAGGTCCCACAAGTAAGGCGGACACGGGGTTCCCGTCAGCGCCGCCTCCGGAGCCGCCTCCCGAAAACGGTCCCACTGAAACCGAGAAAGAGAGTCAGCAATGACATTGTCTACCCCCGGCACATGCCTGGCTACCAACCACAAATTACATTGAAGACAGAGTAGCACTAGCCGTCTAAGCAATGCCAAGACCGGAGGGGACCCAGACGTGGAACGATTGATTACCTGAACCACACTCATGTTGTCCGTGTAAACAACCACCTTCCTGTGCGCTAAGCCCGCACCCCACAAGTCGACCGCAACCACAATTGGGAACAACTCTAGAAACGCCAAATTACCCATGAACTCTGAACCCCGCCATTTGGCCGGCCACTCCGCCGCACACCACTGCCCCCGAAAATAAGCCCCAAAACCTATGGACCCTGATGCATCAGTAAACAAGTCCAACTCCTCGTTAGACACCTCCGAACGCAACCAACAAGAATGACCATTATACGTACCCAAAAAAGCGCTCCACACCTGCAAGTCCGACCGCAGCCTACTTGTAATCCGAATAAAATGAAACGGCTGTACAACCCCCACCGTAGCTAAGGACAAGCGTCGACAGAACGCACGGCCCATGGACAGAACACGACAAGCAAAGTTCAGATGACCCAACAGCGATTGCATCAGCTGCAACTGTACTTTTTTGGAGCCCTTAACCCGGTCAACAAGGCAGAGTAACTGCCCCAGCTTCTCCTCTGGTAATCGAAAGACCATCTCACAAGAGTCAATCTCGATCCCCAAGTAAGCCAACTTATTCACCGGCCCGAACGTCTTGCTTACCGCCACCGGTACACCAAACTCTGACGTAATCTGCCGAAAAGCCCTTAACAACACCGCACAGTCGTCGGAAGCTCCCGACCCGACAAACAAAAAATCATCCAGGTAGTGGGTCAACGTGGACAAACCCGACACCTGTGACACCACCCATTCCAAGAATGTCGCAAACATCTCGAAGTAGGCGCAGGAAATAGCACACCCCATGGGCAAGCACATGTCATAAAAGAACAAACCATTAAATTGACAACCCAGGAGATGGAAACAGTCAGGGTGAACCGGCAGCAGACGAAAAGCCGACTCAATGTCCGATTTGGCGAGCAACGCCCCGGACCCTGCATCTCTCACTAACTCCAAAGCCCTGTCAAATGAAGCATAGCGCACCCTGGACACCTCTTTGTCAATATCGTCATTCACTGATCCACCAGCTGGATAAGACAGGTGATGAATGAGACGAAAGACGCCAGGCTCCTTCTTAGGGACCAAGCCCAGGGGCGACACTCGCAAGTTAACAAACGGGGGCTCAGGAAAAGGTCCTGCCATGCGGCCCAAGGACACTTCTTTTTCCAACTTCTGACCCAGAATATCCTCTTTTCCCGAAACCGAACGTAAATTGCCCGCAAACGACGGTGCCTCAGACAAAACAAACGGAATCCAAAACCCAAATAAAAACCCGTCCAATAAAATACCCGCTTCCCGCCGTTTAGGATACCGGTCGAGCCACGGGCGCATCTTTTCGACGCTCACCGGCGTCCTCCTGTCTAGGAACGTCTTCCTTGGGGCGCACCCCTGACTTCCCTTTTTTAAAACAGCGCACGGCGGGGTGTGCTCCGCCACAGTGCGAACACTCATGCCGGAACCTGCATGAATTGTACCACTTACAGTGGCTCTCATTAAAGAGCCAACAGACTCCCCTACGCTGTCCTGCCGGCGCACTAGCCTGTGCGCCGGCAGTCCCTGGAAAGGGGGATGGCCGGCAGGGCGTCATCAACAGCAGCCATAAGCTGCCATCCTGCACCCCAAAATCCATGCCCTCGCTGACCGCCATCTTCTGCCGAAATTGCTGGTCATACCGGTACCAGCATTGCCCCCCATAAACCTTGTACGCCCCCCAAATGAGATCCAAGTAACCGAACAAGGAGGGAGCCTTGTCCGGAAAACTAGCAGTGAAAATACTGGCGAAAACTGAAAAACCTTGTAGCCAATTCCCAAAAGTGCGGGGAAGTTGCTTACCTCTCTCACTGTCACCGAGGTCACCTCGCCGCGGTCTATCCACCGATTCTCTATCCGGAGGAACCAACGACAGGAAGTCGACATATTCACCCCGAACTATTTTCTCCCTGACGTCTGCTGCCACATGCAGACCCAGTGGGGACAGCTCACAGCCCGGCAACCGTGGGCGCATAATACCCAGCCCTTTGTTCCTGCCTGGCAGCTGCGACGCAGCCCCCCGCAGACTTAGCGGAGTAGAAGAGGGGACAGCCACAGGCAACCTCTCCAATACCGACCTCAACAAGTGAACTAAATCCCCTTGACTCTCCCCATCTAGCTGCCTCCCTAAATCCTGTCTGTCCAGCTCCCTCCTGTCTTGGGAACCCAACCCCCTATCACCCTCAGCCAGCGCATCCCAGGCGCAAGCGCAATACTCACGCGCTGATGCTGCAGGAGGCAGACCGGACCCACTGGGGAACACGGCATCCTCTTCTTCAGATCCGGAGTGCAAACCGGATTGGCATCCATCTTCCTCCCGTTCCTGGGACCCGCAGGCACCGGCAGCGTACCTCTGCGGTCCTTGTCGCGAATCTTCGGGGTGCTCACGCACCGCAGGTGATCTTCCGGCTCCTGCCCGTGACGTCCGCGCGCATGCGCGCCGCGGCATTCTTCGCGTCATGACGTCCGGCGTTGCACGCACGCAGGATTGCGTGCGTGATGACGACTCCCTTACCCGCGCCGGAAGAGAAGGGCGCGGGCTGCGCGACCTTCCGGCCGGGTTCCCGCCATCAGGATCTCCGCCATCTTGGGGCCCGGCCACAGCAAGTACCTGACCGGCCCTCCTCCGCCTCCGGCTGGGCACACTGCGTGCCGGCAATCGCCCGGCATCGCCGCTCCCCTCCTCGGACCGCTGGGCACTCCTCCCGCCGCTCCTCCGTACCGGGCTTGGAGACAAACGCGACGGAGGCCTCGACCTCCTGGCCCTCCGCCCGCTTAACGACTCCTCAGCTCCCTCAGGCCGATCCAGACGTCCTCCTGCAGCCTGCCGCACTTGAGACAGCACCTGTTCTAAGGAGCCATGGGACTCCTGGTAAGCTGCCATCATTTTTACTAATTCCTCCAGCGATGGGGTGGCCATGTTGAAGCTTGATCCTCACTTAGGCAAGATCTATTGATTGGTTTGTTTCTTGCAGGCCCAGGTATTCCCCCACAGACACAAGAAAGGCAACTCCAAAAGAACAGTACAGTCAGCGAGAAAAATTAAACCAGGGTGACTGACTATCTCCTTCTGACTGGTAAGTCTCCTCCCTTGCTTCACCTTTATGAATCCTTCCATCTTTGCAACATTGTTGCTACCATTGTACCATCCCACTATCCTGGGCAGCAGTCATGCTCCCCCTTCCCTATTTGTCCAGGGGGACACTTTCTGTGCCTAATATGAGCTTGAAGAAGACATAGAAATAAAGATATTGTGACAAAGACACCATCTAGGTTTATTTTATTGAGATATACAAATTAGAACCTTTAGAATCACAGTATGAAATGATGTAGAGAATATGTGTCCCTGCCAAATTCTGTATATCAAATAAGCAGCTTTTATTTGTGGTCCAGATCATTGGAAATCTCTCTTTTTTCCTCATTCTTGTCTTTTACAACAGTGTCTTGTAAATTCGGCGTTCTGAGTTAAAAGGTGTGGTACACAATACCATTAAGATGGTCTGTCAACCTAATAAACATTGAGTATTGTGCAAGCTAGGAATCAGCATATCACACACTAGTTGAGAAACGTAAAATTTAATGAACACATCCCATTTTCAGGTTAACCATACACTGCCACTTCAAATAAAGCTTGCGTATTACCGGTCCACTGTCTTCTTGAACATTTTTTATTTTTTTTTGTCTTTAGCATAAGACAAGCCCTTCGCTGTATCTCTGTCTCTTAGTTCTCCACAAGAGTGCTGATGCAGTTAATTGGGGCTTCTGAAAAGTGCGCATTAACATAGGGAAAGCTCGGCAGACGTTTTTGGCAGCAAAATATCATTATCACTTCTTGAGCCCAAGCCAAAATCTCCTTGCGGTCAAAACACAATTCTTAAACTAAACAATTAAAGATTTGTGCAAGTGTTACAGCGCACAGCTTCGAGACTGCGAGCGTTCTCCTGCCAGTGTGAGGGAAGTTAACAAGCTGGGTGATGGCTCATAGGAAGGCAGTGCAGGGGCTGTCTCAAAACAATCTGGTGAAATGCCTTCCTTGGCATTGCAAGGGACGGTCAAAAATGGGCTCCATTTTTTAATTATTGTTTAAAGATTTATTTTAAGATATATTGTTATTTATACATAGCTTTAAGTAGAAATCTAATTTTGTAATTTTTGTCCCAAATTATAGCAATTGTTTTTCATTTGCAGAGAAAAACTGCCTTACATCCTCAGAAAATCTAAATTTGCATATTTCTTTAGGATTAATGTGAAATATGTAACTTGTAATGCTTATTGTGAAAAAAATATGTTTTAACTAGGTCATGGCAAATCAAGGATTGAATTATATGTATAGGTATTATGATAAACATTTTGCTGAAGATGCATTAAAAGGCTGATTTTGTCAATGTGTTTGATCATCGGAATTGTGCGATGGACATTCATATAGCATTTTAAAACTGCTTATCTCATACCTTCCAATGTGTTAAATGGACAAAGAGGGACACTGTAATTTTACGGGAGTGAGTGAGGTATGGCCAGGGGTAGGGCTGCTCTTAGATATTTAATGTGATTTAGTAATAACAATTTATGCAATTGAAACGTTATTTAGAACATAGATAGAAAAAGAGGGGCAGAGGGATTTGGGCCCAAAAATACAGACTGACCTTCCTAAATAGGAACACTTGGGAGGCATGCTATACTGTGTGATGGTCACTTAAATTCAGGGTTTTTTTGTTCGATAAAAATCAAATGCTACTTTTCCTACTATCCTTTGCTTCTTTTTCTTTGTTCAGAGTGGAAATCTCAGAGTTTCTCTGGAAACACCATATTTATATTCCCCCTGGAACAATAAGGAAGGGGGGACATGACTGCTGCCCAAGATAGTGGGATGGATCATGGAAGTTACAATGTTGCTAAGATTGGGGTTCTTAAGGGAAGGGAGAGGGAGGGGACTTACCAGTCAGCAGAATCAGTTGAGGGCTCCTGACTGTTTTCCCACCCTCCCCCCCTGTTTCTGGTGTTGTGGCTTGTGTCTCGTGTTGTTGTTTTTTGTGTTGTCACATCTTGGTGGTTTCCCTAGACAGTGCAGAGGAAGAAAGGAACTTTGGGGAGACGACAGCCGGCATGGAGCTGATGGCGAGGAGCTGGCTGTCGAGGCTCATGACACCGAATGTGTGTGAGAACTGCCTGTTGGGCAAACACCCAACATCTGGCAGATTTGGACTGAGTTAAATTGTTAATTTAAATAAAGCTGTGGCCATTGCCCTTATCCACAAGAATGAGGTGTCACGTGTATTATTTTGGGGCAACGGGTTGTTGGTTGGGACTGCTGGGTCAGCAGTCATGATTGGCTACTCACCTTACATGTCATTGCAGCCTTATTTTATTTTATTTTGGTAATTCTCTCCATCATAACAACCCCCCCCACCCCAACATTAAAAAGTTGTCAGACCTTCAAGTGATTAAATACAGAAACAAAGTACTCATTGCCTCCCCTTCTCTCTTTTTCTTCTCTTGCTTAGTTTCTTATTCTTGTGGTGTCTGGTCCGTTCTATCTCTCTTCTACCACATGCAGATTTTTAGTTTACTTCATGACTAGTGGTTTCTATTTGACCTTTTTAGTTGGCCAAATGTGTTCGTATATGTGGTCATAGTTTTAGCTTTATTATTCATGTGATATGTTTTTACACTTAATGGTTATTCTGGTATTATTATTATTATTATTGTTGTTGTATAAAACCAGGCATTGTACATCTATGTATGCCACATGGTTGTTTCTCATCGTACCTTCCTCCTTTAAATAAAGATTTACAATAAAAATACAGAAAAAATATTTTGTTATGGTTAATCTGTTGGGAAGGTATTAAACTGATTAAAAGAATATTTTAAAGACATATATATAAATACACGTTTTGCTCATGATCTATTTCAACCTACTTGACTAATGTATTTGTGCACAATTCTCTTTTAATACACAACTAACCCTGAAAAGCTGCTTGTTAAAAGGGAACCTATAGTTCCAAAAATAACAATCGTTATTTCGGGACTAGAGGTTCACTTCTGTCCACCCCCTTCTGTCCACACCGCCTTTGCTGATAAAATATTTAAGTAAAATAAACATTAGTCATCTCCTTACCAGCGTTAAGACTCCTCCACTGCAGCTTCCAGCTCCTCGTTCAGTAATGTTGGGTGATGGAACTAGCCTTGTGCAGACAAAAGCCACACACCTCCAATCAAATGCTGTTTCTACAAAACAGGGTTAAAGTGACACTGAGCTTAAGTGGTCTGGGTGACTATAGTGTTAATTTGATGTATTCTAAAAGCATTCCAATCAGTCTCATAACTAGTGCAGGACTCATACACGAAATTTTTTTTAAAGGTAAGTGAATGGTTAATTAGGTATGATATTAAAATATATGTTTTATTTTTTTCCTTTTTACAAATGCAAAAGCTGACTTTACATGTCACGTCTACTTTAACAATTACAGGGTGGGATGAAAAAACAATTGAACTGATCGTAGGAAATGCAGGAACGTTCCAGGACATTTTTAGCAAAATATAGGAATGTAATGAACTTTCTGCATACTCCACCCAAACTACTTTAGAATAAGGAAAGAAGTCATTTTGTTCAATAGTTTCCCTGCCTGCTCATTTTAGTTAAGTTAGTTAAAAAGTCGGTCTTGTTAATACGATATAGATAGTAGACATTTTTATTCTTTTCCTGTTAGGGATGCACAGAGCAGGCAACTGCTGACTGGCGCATTGTTGGTGGGGGTGCTGTGCAACATATACTTGCTCTGTGGCTGTTGTATGCGACTTCAGAGCGGGTAGAGAGGGGGTTGAAGGGACTGTCTGCACCGATTACCCACCCTTCTTTGCGCTTGCTGTACTAAAGCTGCAGCAGGGATGTGACATCATTTCAGTCCCTACGTCAGTACAAAGCTGCTAGAAGTTGGGCAATCAATGAAGAAAGACCCCAATAACACTCACTGGACATCAGATAGGGTTCTGACTCCCTCTTTCAAGATAAGAAAAGGGAGGCGGGTTGGACCTTTATTTTATAATAAATTAATAGAATAAAAAATGAGTCTGTGTATGAATCTGTTTGCAGATATCAATGTGTTTATGTGAGTCTGTGTGTATATGAGTCTGTGTATGCATTTGTATGTATGCGTGTGTGTGTATATGGATGTGTGTGCCTGTATATACGTGTTCATGTGTGTATATTGATGCGTATATGTATATCGATGTATATATGAATATGTAGGTTTTATGAATTTAAGGATGCGTGTCTAATTTAACTAACTAAAAGGTGTTTGGGCGTGAGACAAACTTCTAAAGTTTGTGGTTGGGGTCCTTAATGCATTTCTGTCTTGCATGCCATGAATCCTAGGTATGCCTCTAGTCTTACCATCTGTCATTAAAGGCTTTGAAAAAACAAATTATTCATAACCAATCAGCAATATTATATTACTATATGTTTAAGTAATGTTCTAAGCTCCCTAATCCCTACAACATATTATAGTGGTTCTGATGCAAGAAGTATTCAGGTGCTGACACTCCAACTGTGTTCTACGAAAAAAACAAAAAACTCGGCATCTCCTGACACCTGAAGCATAGCCTCACTTAAACATTGTCTGTACAAATCTGTATAAAGCCACCCAAGTGCTCATAATAACTGCTGTCCAAAATGAAGGCAGGTTTGTAAGGACAATGTGGAAATTGAACTTCCACATTATCTCAGTGGCAGCAGAGGGATCTGTGTTTGGCTGCCGGGACAGCCCCGTTTTTAATACCACTCACAAACTATTTGACAAGAAGGACAGCACCCAAAAACTACTTGTACTATAACCTTATGCCTTCCAACTCCTGCCCAACTAATAACCCAGCTTTACTATACATCCAAAGGTACAAAGCACAATAGCACTTTACATTGTTAGTTTGTCACTTAAAGGGACACTATAGGAACCAAGACAATTTCAGCTTAATGAAGTAATTTTGGTGTATAGATCATAGTCTCACTGCTCGATTCTCTGCCACCTAGGAGTAAAACCACTTTGTTAATGCAGCCCTAGTTACACATCCCTGCATGTGACCTACACACTATTCCTAAACACTTCCTGTAAAGAGACATCTAATGTTTACACTTCCTTTATTGCAAATTCTGTTTTGTTTGATACTTTTTATCTCATGCACTTGCTAGACCCTGCTGGAGCTTTACAGAGCAGGAAATAAAAATGTTTAAAGCAAGTTCACAAGGCCCTAAAACCTCGCACTTCTTGAGGAACACACAACACTGATGTCACCCCGACAGGCACCTACCTCACATCCCCCCACCTCACCCCCCCTCCCGCTGCTATCACCCCCAATGCAGAGGCAGAGCAGGGCAGTCCGAATACTAGAATAGCTAATAGACCCACCATTCCTGCTCTCGTGAGAGCAAACGACTAGCCAGGCACCCTGCAGACACAGGACACTGCAGAAAGCAAGACCTACCCCTGCCTGCCCAACATTAGCTTCACCACGATTAGCTTGTTACGTAGTAGTTACGAAAGTCGATCACACAGGCTACATAGCTGCATAAGTAAACTATAGTTTAAGCCCGACTATGAACCCTCGCACTTGATCAGAACCTTTTGGCTCCAATGAGCCTACTCCACTATGTAGATGTGACTAACTACACTGTTTACTGTTCCTGTTTTGTCCTTATTGAAAAAGGTGCAATACTAACGGTCACCTTGTATACCGCATCAATGTTTGATTTTTCTGATATGGCAACACATACTTGTTTGAAAATATTTTTCAAGTAAAACAAAAAATGTTTTAAAGTAAGTTAATATCTGACTGAGAATTAAACCATTTTTTCATGCAGCCTGTCAGTCACAGCCAGTGGAGGTGTGGCTAGGCCTGCAAAGCAGAAACAAAAGTGATTTACCGTATATACTCGTGTATAAGTCGATCTCATGTATAAGTCGAGGGCAGTTTTGTGACCAACAATTGTGAAATATGCTATGCCTCATGGATAAGTCGAGGGTAAAACTTGGAGCTATGAAATTCTGTGATTTTTAGAATTATATACACACACACACTCATACAAACACACACACTGCATTATACACACACACATACAAACAATCTGCATTCTACACACACACACTCATACAAACACACACACTCTGCATTATATACGCACACACACTCTGCATTATATACGCACATACACTCATACAAACACACACTCTGCATTATATACGCACACACACTCATACAAACACACACTATGCATTATATACGCACACACACTCATACAAACACACACTCTGCATTATATACGCACACACACTCATACAAACACACACTCTGCATTATACACACACACACTCATACAAACACACACTCTGCATTATACACACACACACTCATACAAACACACACTCTGCATTATATACGCACACACACTCATACAAACACACACTCATACAAACAATCTGCATTCTACACACACACTCATACAAACACACACACACTCTGCATTATATACGCACACACTCTGTGCGTATATAATGCAGAGTGTGTGTGTGTTTGTATGAGTGTGTGTGTAGAATGCAGATTGTTTGTATGAGTGTGTGTGTGTGTGTGTGTGTGTGTGTATGAACTGGGTGGGAGGAGGGCATTTTTATTATAATTTTTTTATATATTTTAAGTTTTTTTATTTTATTATTATTTTTTAATATTTTACTTTTTTTATTTATTTTAATATTTTACGTTTTTTATTTTAATATTTTTCATTGTATTTTTCTTATTTATTTAATTTAATTTTTGTCCCCCCTCACTCCCTGGTGGTCCAGTGTATGGGCTGTATAGGAGGGGGGGCTGACAGTGAGAGGTTACTTACCTTCCTGCAGCTCCTGTCAGCTCCCTTCTCCTCCGTGCAGCTCCTCTGTCAGCTCCCACTGTAAGTCTCGCGAGAGCAGGGCCGGTGCTAGGATTTTTGACTACACAGGCGAAGATGCATTTTGACGCCCCCCCCCACCCCCAAAAAAAAAAAAATACAATGCATCTTCACCTCTGTGTCTCGTAGCCCCCTTTTGAATTTCTTACCCCCATTAGTGTTGCATATCCACTCTCTTGAATGTCTTATCCCTTTGGCCCCTTTGTGCCTTACACCCCCCTTTAGTGTGTTTCCTACAACACCTCTTATGTATTTCTTACTTCCCCGCCAGCCCCTATCTATCTCTCTTTTTCTTCCACATAGACATAGATACAGGCAAAAATACATACATGCACAAATACACAAACATACAGACACACAACCATACAAGCACACAGACATAATTTTTCAGGCACACAGTCACAAAGATATACAGACACACAGTCATAAAAGGCACACAAACAAACACAGTCATACAATCTACACATACAGGTACATTGTCATACAAACACAGACATACATTCATACAGACACAGGCCCTCACAGAAATACAGACAGACATAAAGAAACATAGAGATAGGCATACAGAGACATACATACACAGACAAACAAAGAACCCTGCACACTGATACCGTGTAAATGCTCCGGCCATCAACAGTGGTGGATGCTCCGTGTCAGGCGGACATCGCTGGATCCACCAGTAAAGTCTTCAAAAGGAATAAACGCAGGCAACACTCCAATAGTAAGGATGGTATATTTATTGGTAGGTGAACCACCCCATAGAAAGTGTGATGTTTCAGCTCATGCAATAAGGCTCTGCTGAGCTGAAACACGCACTTTCTTTGGGGTGGTTCACCTATCAATAAATATACCATCCGTACTATTGGAGTGTTGACTGCGTTTATTCCTTTTGAATACATACACACAGTCATACAGAGACATACATACTGTATGTCTCTGTATGACAGGTCTGTGTATGTACACAGGATGGCTAAAAGATAGATCCCCATCTGTCGTGCAACTTCAACAATGCTTTGAAAGCTGGGGCTCTACCGATTCCCTGTGCTTGCAGTATTGTATTTAGCATGGAGCAGTATTTGTGTGTTTGACTGTAAGCATGTGTTTGTATGGAGTATGTTTGTATGATTGTAGCGGTGTGTTTGTATGTAGTGTTTGCATTTGAATGCAAGCATGCATTTATGTGTAGTGTTGGTTTTTGAACGTAGGTGTGTGTTTATATATAATTTTGGTGTCTGATACAGAGGTGTGTTTGTATGTAATGTTGACATTTGAATGCAGGTGTGTGTTTGTATGTAGTGTTGTTGTTTGCATGCAGGTGTTTATTTGTGTGTAGTGTTGGTGTTTGAATGCTGAGATATATGCACATATACACATACACTGCCACACATGCAGTGATACACATACACAACGATACACACACTGACGCACATGCAGATATACATATACACAAACTGATACACATTCAGATAGACAGACACACATATACAGATACACACAAACACTGACAGACATACAGATAAACATACACTGACATACAGACACGCTGACAGACATACAGATACACACATACACAATGATAGACATACACAAACACACAAAGACACACACACACTGACAGACATTTAGATACACACAGACACACGGACAGAGACATTTACATACACACACACACTGACAGACATAGATACACACACTGACAGACATATACAAACACACTGACAAACATACAGATACACACATACACAATGATAGACATACACAAAGACACACTAACAGACAGACATACACACACACTGACAGACATTTAGATACACACAAACACACGGACAGAGACATATACATACACACACTGACAGACATAGATACACACACACTGACAGACATATACAAACACACTGACAAACATATACAAACACACTGACAAACATACAGATACACACATACACAATGATAGACATACACAAAGACACACTAACAGACAGACATACACACACACTGACAGACATTTAGATACACACAAACACACGGACAGAGACATATACATACACACACTGACAGACATAGATACACACACACTGACAGACATATACAAACACACTGACAAACATACAGATACACACATACACAATGATAGACATACACAAAGACACACTAACAGACAGACATACACACACACTGACAGACATTTAGATACACACAAACACACGGACAGAGACATATACATACACAAACACTGACAGACATGGATACACACACACACTGACAGACATGGATACACACACACACTGACAGACATGGATACACACACACACACTGACAGACATAGATACACACACACACACACTGACAGACATGGATACACACACACATACACACACACACACACACTGACAGACATGGATACACACAGACACACTGACCAACAGGTTCAGGAGGGGGGCTTACCTGGGATCCAAAGTGCTGCCTGAGGTAGTTGGGAGTTGGAGGAGCTGGTCCTGCCCAGCCCCCCTCCTCTCTGCCTTCTGCTGCCCTAGTCTTGTTGGGAGGACTTCCTCCCATGCTGATTAGAAGGGGGCCCGTAGCTCCGCCCCTGCTGGGCGCCAGCCGCGCTGTGTGCTACAGTGGGAGCAGGGATATGACGTTCATATCCCCACCCCCTCCACACAGTCCGCGGCACTGCAGGGTGGCGCTCGGCCACACTACAAGAAGTGACCGGCAGGAGAGGGGAGCTGTGCGCTTCCCTCCTGCCGGTCACCCGGACATTTGCGCCCCCGGGCCGGTGCGCCCTAAGGCGGCCGCCTGTGCCGCCTTATGGACGCGCCGGCCCTGCGCGAGAGCCGCGGTGACCCCGCGGCTCTCGCGAGACTTACAGTGGGAGCTGACAGAGGAGCTGCACGGAGGAGGAGGGAGCTGACAGGCGCTGCAGGAAGGTAAGTAACCTCTCACTGTCAGCCCCCAACAGGACCGCCGGGCTTGTAATGAGCCCGGCGGTCCTGGTCTGTATTGTGGCAATGTAAATTGCCATAATACAGACATTAACTCGAGTATAAGTCGAGTGGGGGTTTTTCAGCACAAATAATGTGCTGAAAAACTCGACTTATACTCGAGTATATACGGTAACTCCTAAATTGCAGATAATTGAGCAGTGAGACTGCGGGGGCATGATCTATATACCAAAACTGCTTCAATAATCTAAAGTTGTTTTGATGCCTATGGTGTTACTTTAAATTGGTGACACTTTAAAAAAAAAAAAAAAAATCAGCATTCAAAAAGGTAAGGAAAAAATTTAAAAACAGACCATAAAAAAATAAAAAGTGACCCTTCTAGGTAGCTCTTAATCTATTCTTATTTTACTCCATGTTTGCTGCACCATATAGTATGTATTTATAATATACCAGCTGTTAAAAAGATGAGTAAATTAACCCAAATAAGAATAAAAAGTTGTTTTGGAAAAATGTGAAAATATTCATTATTGATCTGATTCTAATGCAAACCATCTCCTGTACTTGTTTGGCCATGTTTATTTATATTAACACATGACATATGTATGATAAAGACTCTGTGTGAATTCTGCCTGATTAGCTTCCTAGAACTTTACCTTTATGTACTCAGCACAAGCATTTGTTCTAATCTTAAATTCCTTAATTTTTACTAGAACTCTGAGGATTGTTTTATTTAAGTGATATGGTTTCTTTCCCCATGCTTAAAGGGCTTTGATGCCCAAGATACAAAAATATTTTACACATATAAGAGCAATGATTTAGCTCTAAATAATTTACCCTTTTAAAACTGCATTCAAATGAGAACTTAAAAGCAATCCATCCTGCAATGTCACTTGCATTTTCCAAGTAACACTTCTGTTATACTCTGTGTACTAATTCTCAGTCAGCTACATCATTTACCGGACATATCGTATAGTGTTTGTTTTAGTTGGGTTTAATTTAGTTAGAAGTCTAAAAAATTCCTCAGAAAGCTGGTTTTCCTACATCACCATTAAGCTAGAAATTTAACATGCAACATAACCACAGCATCCTATCACTGACCTGTTTTTTTCTGGATATATCTATGTTCTATGGTGGCTGTTCCCTAAACAGTGATCTGTAGTGAATTGAAAGTCAAATTTGCTAAAATTCTGAACAAATACCCATGTTAGAAAATTTATTCTATACTGTCAGGGTTATTCACTAAAGTAAGAATTGCCTGGAATTCAAAGGAAATATCACATTTAAGACCAAAATAGCCAAACTGAAAACAGGATTGTAAACTGTAAAATTTATTTGGAATTTACTTTGAATTTTTTGCAATTCTCGTTTTAGAAAATAATCCTGTTTATTTCTAAACTTTATGCTTTGGTGTAAATTTAGCAAAATTTGTTTGTCCGAAACAATTAATTGAACACGGCACAAGTGTCTGTGGTGTGCAGTATTGGAATTAGTCAATTGAAAATATAGCAATCAACTGTTAAAATGAAAATATAATGCTTTTGTGACACTATTAATCTTAAACCCATGTGATCAAAACTTTCATTTTTAGATGCTCTGAATTAAGATACTCTCTGATCTTTACGTTTATCCTACAGACTGGAAAAACATTACTTGATACCTGCTGTGCCTGGCGATGCATAAAGGGTTAAATTTCCATTTCTGTCTGTTCTTTTCTAGATCCGAGGCCAGCCATGCCAGTCGCATCAGTATTTTATCATGCTAAATTTATACACAGCTATGGTAGTGATGGGAAGGTAAGATTCTACTCTCTGAGGAGCTGTGTAAAATATGTATTTATTGAATTATCTGAGTAAATAAACCAGTCAGAATTGCACTGTTTTTTTTCAATGTTCAGGTCGGGCTTTATCTTAGGCCCTATTACTTAGTATTTGTCAGGATATAAACTACTGCTATTTATTTAAACCCCTGTTTCACCCTTATTTCTTTCTGAGTTTCTCATTTTTTTGTTCACTGAACAGGTCCATCTCTTTGGGCATTCATGCCTCTCGCAGCACTTACTAATATTTTCCGCTGATTCCCATTTTGTTTCTTCCAGAATATCACAGCATTCTTGTGCAGTTCAAAGGGATTTTGGAGATAAGGCGCTTCAAGTGAAACCTCATATCCTAAACAGAAATTAAAAAGATTTTTTTTTTTTTCATAGCCATAGGAGTAAGAGGTGGGGTCAGAGTTTTATATTGCTTTAATATAACTCTATATTTTCTTAATTTCTTCCTTGCTTTACAAAATATATTTTATGTTGGAATGATTATTGTCCAGATCTTTAAACAATCAAACGTATTTTGTTGAGGATCATTTACTTGATATTAATTAATCTAAGATACCAATGAAGTTTCCGCAAAAGTTACATTTGTTTCTTAGCTAGAATAAATGTAATTGCTATAGATAGATCAGTTCAACTGTGTAATGTGTTACAGCTAGTAATTGTCTTTTATTTTTCTTAATTTAAACTTTTGCAACATGTGACAGAATTGCCAAACCTGAGTAAATGAATGAAAATTATTATTAGATGGAGTGAAGAATGTATATATTTTATCCCTCTAAATTGTACATGTATTTAGGCAATAATATACTGTCATTTTTGTTCCATTTACAATTTGTGTTATATTTGTTGATGTGTTTTCACATTCATTGTAAAGAGCATCAGAAAATGTTTGTGCTTTGAAAATTATAATAACAGTATTATATTTTCTAATAAATGATCATGTGATATAGTTAATTATACAAAAAGAGGAACAAAAACATTGGGATTTCATCAGTTGCACTTACATTTTTCATATAATAATGGTATTTATAAAAAAATATTTTGAAAATAAGCTATTTACTTAAAATATATATAAATACAAAAATATATAAATACAGGTTTTTAGCATGCTGTGTATATTTCTAGATCCATAGGGAACATATACTATGTTGATTTCAGTGTAACCATGAATGTATTTATTAGTAATTTATAAATGTGTCATTATTTTATAGAGGACAGCAATTTTGTAAGTGCTGTTCATTTTTTACATAAATCTTCTTTGTGAATACCTTTGGCTCCTGAAATGGTTAATCATTATTGTAGGTGAGAAGATAGTATATGCAATAGTGATATTTATGACTTTTCTTTAAGCCATTAATTTCAATTACCCGAAATTCTTTGAAGTGCTGTAATATTTCTACTGCTCATTTGCATGTCAGATTCCTTTAGACAGGGATTGGAAGGTCTAGTCATGGAAAAAACACTGCATTTTAATTGCCAGTAGGAATTGGTTTTAAGGACAGGCAGATACCCATGTGGGCAATAAAGTATCTGTGTCAGACTTAATGTACCAGACCTCAGGTGAACATCGCTATAGCGGGCACAGACTGAACAATTCCCTAGGGATGTTTTAAGAGCTTAGAGAATCTCTGGGAGAAAATGCTTTGAACAGTCTCCCGAGGTTTGGATCTGTTCAGGGGGGATGTATCTACAACACCTTAGCTGTTAATTTATAATAGGGGTGTGAAAGTTTGGTTCACTGGATGCCACTGGGCTTGAATTCTGGGAAATGTAGTCCAACAATAGCTTGATGGCCAGGGTTGCAAAAAGGCCCTGTTTCTAGCATACCACATATATTTTTAGAGCAGAAGCTAAGTGGTTATGGTGGTGCCAGGGGAACTGCATTAAAGGACCACTATAGTGCCAGGAAAACATACTCGTTTTCCTGGCACTATAGTGCCCTGAGGGTGCCCCCACCCTCAGGGTCCCCCTCCCACCCGGCTCTGGAAGGTGGAAAGGGGGAAAAACTTACCTTTTTCCAGCGCTGGGCGGGGAGCTCTCTGCCTCCTCTCCTCCTCCGATCCGCCCCATCGGCAGAATGCGCACGTGCGCCAAGAGCTGCGCGTGCATTCAGCCGGTCGCATAGGAAAGCATTCATAATGCTTTCCTATTGACGCTTGCGTGCTCTCACTGTGATTTTCACAGTGAGAAGCACGCAAGCGCCTCTAGCGGCTGTCAATGAGACAGCCACTAGAGGATTTGGAGGAAGGCTTAACCCATTGATAAACATAGCAGTTTCTCTGATGTCCTGGCACCCAGACCACTTCATTAAGCTGAAGTGGTTTGGGTGCCTAGAGTGGTCCTTTAATAAGCATATTATACTGAATGGAACAAGCATTAAAGGGACACTATAGTCACCTGAACAACTTTTGCTTAATGAAGCAGTTTTGATGTATAGAACATGCCCCTGCAGCCTCACTGCTCAATCCTCTGCCATTTAGGAGTTAAATCCCTTTGTTTATGAACCCTAGTCCCACCTCCCTGCATGTGACTTGCACAGCCTTCCATAAACACTTCCTGTAAACAGAGCCCTATTTAGGCTTTCTTTATTGCAAGTTCTGTTTAATTAAGATTTTCTTATCCCCTGCTATGTTAATAGCTTGCCAAACTCTGCAAGAGCCTCCTGTATGTGATTAAAGTTCAATTTAGAGATTGAGATACATTTATTTAAGGTAAATTACATCTGTTGGAAAGTGAAACCAGTTTTTTTTTCATGCAGGCTCTATCAGTCATAGCCAGGGGAGGTGTGGCTAGGGCTGCATAAACAGAAACAAAGTGATTTAACTCCTAAATGACAGTGAATTGAGCAGTGACATTGCAGGGGAATGATCTATACACTAAAACTGCTTTATTTAGCTAAAGTAATTTAGGTGACTATAGTGTTCCTTTAAAACAAAAAAAATCATATACAAGTCTGTTTAATAAGCACAATTACAAGACTGAAAGTTTAATACGCACAATCTCTGATTCAGTTCATTACAGAAAGTATATAATACCTCCCAAAAGTTCAAAATGGACAAAGAGGGACACTTTAATTTTATGGGTATAAGTGGGGTGTGACCAGGGATGGGAATGTTCTGAGAAATGTTTAGGTGACTTACTAATTACAATTTATGCAACTAAAATGTAATTGAGAACAAGAACAATGTATCTTTTCTAAACAGACTGATTTCTAAACCTATTAATTGTAGTTTAAATAAACATTACTGTGAGTATTATTACTATGGAGCTCTGCTACACACTCACACAATAAAATGGAGCTCCTAGAAAAGAGTGACATTATGATAGAAAGGAGGGACACAGTGATTTGGGCCCCAAAGAAGGACTGACCCTCCTACATAGTGTCATTTGGGGTGTGATATCTCGAGTGAAAGTTAACTATTATTCATTGAAAGGCACCATATTCTGTACCGCTGTACAATTGGGGAAAAACAGACGGTATAATGTAAACAAACCTGTGCAAACTGAGCATCTGGTCTCTGAGCTGAAAGGGGTAGAATTATCAAAGTGTTCAGTTCTAATTAGTGATGCAAAAAATGTAAAAGGGGAGACGTGACCAATGGAATATGCTGGTATCACCTGTTTCCATGGTGACTGCATCACTTTTAGTAACATAGAAACCTATGATAAATAACTCATTATTTGGCATTAACATTTTTTTTATAACAATTAGTCTGCAAAATAGCTTGTGGGCAGACATTCTAAACGGCAAAGTACTTTTTTGAACACCTAGAGGGTGTGTCCATCTTTATGATCTGACCTGCTTGAGAAAAACACGTTTTGCAAAGTCATATTGAGGCATTCTCGTAAAGTGACTGGTTATCAAACTTATTGTATGTATAGTGCTTATATGACAGTTAATCTATACCTACATATACACTGATCAGCCAACAACACTAAAATCAATGACAGGTGAAGTAAATAACATTGATTATATCATTAGAATGTCACCTATCAAGGGGTGGGATATATTGGGCAGCAAATAAACAGTCAATTCTTGAATTTAATTTGTTGAAAGCAGGAAAAATGGGCAAGTGAAGAGGCCTAAGTGACAATGACAAGGATCAAATATTGATGGTAAATGACTGGGTTCGAACTCCAAAATGGCAAGTCTTGTGGGGTGTTCCTGGTATGCAGTGGTATGTATTTACCAAAAGTGGTACAGGGAAGGACAAAAGTGGTACATGGCCGCCCATTGATGAACATGGGGAACTATGTTATGCTCTGGGCACTGTTCTGCTGGGAAACCTTGGGTCCTAGAATTCATGTGGACATTATGTTGACATGTACCACATACCTAGAGATTGTTGCAGACCACGAATGCCTATTCATGGTGGTGGTGTTTCCTGATAGCAGTGGCCTCTTTCATCAGGATAATGTACCATGCCAAATTGCAAGAATTGTTCAGGAATGGTTTGAGGAACATGACAAAGAGTTCAAGGTGTAAACTGGCCTCCAAATTCCCCAGATCTTAAACCATTGGATGTGCTAGAGCTAGAACAACAAATCCGATTCAAATAGGCCCCACCTCCCAGCTTGCTGGACTTTAAGGATATGTTGCTAATATCTTGCTGCCAGATACCACAGGACATATTTAAAGGTCTTGTGGAATCCATGCCTCCACGCATCAGAGCTGTTTTGGCACCAGGAGGGGATCCTATACAATATTAGGCAGATGGTTTTAATGTTGTGACTGATTAGTATATATATATATATATATATATATACACACACAATTTAGTAGAAGTTTTGCACTCCAGCTTTCCTCCTTATAATGGCCCGGTGCTCAGCTGCACAAAAATACAAATTCCAAAAGAAAGCCAGCACTCAAGGACTTATACGAAAAATATGAAGGCTTTTAATCCAAACAGTCAACGTTTCAGTTCATAACATGTCCTGAGGAAAGTTCACTGTAGTGAACTGAAACGTTGACTGTTTGGATTAAAAACCTTCATATTTTTCATATAAGTCCTTGAGTCCTGGCTTTCTTTTGGAATGAATATATATATATTATATATCATTGAAACATTCAACAACTTTAAAAAGTGATTTGTCCCCCATCATTCTGGGTTTTAGATATATTCCTCTGCACCATCCTTCACTAATTTTTGTAACGCATTAGAGACAGCTGAATTGCAGAGAATGGATAAAAAAAAAAATACTAATCTGAATTTTCTATTTCCAGCCCATAGAAGATTATGGGAAAAGCTCACTGTGTAAAAATAGGTGGATATCATCTACATCGTCAATGAATAAAACTTATTTTCAATATATTCACTAACTTGTATTCTAGGTACTGTGTAACCTCGAGTAAATTCACTTTGAATTCCCACTCATGATTATCAACAAGTTCTCCCCCTTCATTGAAATCTAACCGACTTTTTACAGCACATAAGACATCAGACGAAGACAGCACTTGGCACGTTCCATTTTGCTCTACCTAACAACTTAAATCTGTTATATTGTTAGAGAATGACATGATGATGACATGATAATACCCAAGCAATTTAGTTTCAGTAAATAAACCCTTCACGTTATATATTATACCTAATAATAATTATAAAAGGCAAATTCTCATGTTATTAGATATATCTTTACCTTCATCACTGATGGGAAGGGAATCAGGCAAACTTTAGTCACATGCTTTGACATGCATTGGGAGATATTAGTTTTGGCGCTGCCCTTTGTCCTTTCTCATTGGAAAGATGTTATGCCCTAGAAAACCACTTCTCAAAGGATGTTTTTTTGTCTCAAGGGTCTCAAAACATCACGGGGACTGACATTCTAAAAAAGCTGGGTATCGAAAGAGGAGCCATCTTTTATTATAATTAGCATTTATATAGTGCCAACATATCCCACAATACTTTAGAATTTAGAAAGGTTATATATGACAGCGAAGAAGGCCCTGCTCAGACGAGCTTGAGATAGGTAGATAAACATCAAATACATAATTAGGTGTATTGCACAAAGACACTTACTAGTAAGGTGGTCTTTGTTTCTAAGTAATACTACCAATGCTCTAATACGCTAATACATTGCATAGAAACTGTGGAAAACAGTGCTGCAGATTCCAGGATACTGAGACACCGTAATCTGTGTAGTGTGTTTATGTTTGCACTGTCTTCTTTAATTACTGTATTTTTACATTAACCGTCATTTCCTATGAATGCTCTCTTTTCCATTTTATTTAAAACTTATAAGATTTTCCAAACATTGCTCCATATACCAGTTCTTTACAACCCTCTTGTATATCTTTACTAATTCCAAACTTAAACTACTGAATTGTTTATTTTGTTGTCCTATATTTTGTGGCATCTCCATAGTATCTCTTAATACACCAGTCCTGCCTAATGTTGGGGCTGTGGATATTTTTTAACATGATGTCCCATTATGCTAAGCCAGCCATCAAGCACCAGATACGCTGATTGTGATTAGCAGACACTGGGAGGCGTTGCTTTGCCTTCTCTCTGTATATCTAGTTAAGCAGTGTGCTGTGACTGCAGAGCTAGCTCTACGGATAGCTGCACATCTCCACCTGTTGCTATGGTGGAGACTTTTTGTTGTAAACACTGGGTAAACAGCTGCTGGGCTTTGCCCTGTTTGTCTGGCCCGTAGCTGAGCTTTATTTGGGGAAAGTCAATAAGGAAAAATAAACATTCTCAGTCCTTTTGCACATAGATCCCTGGAACACATATTTAGTTCAGTGTGCTACGCCCTAGGCACGGGTGAGGGGCTCCGTTCTCCCTAATAACTATTAATGCTGCAGTTCAAAAAATTTTTTTTTTTTAAAAACTATGATTAACAGAATAGGGAAATACAGTGTTTTGTTTTGTAAAACTAATATGTTAATGCCAGACAACAGCTTATAGATATAGATTCACAAGGCTACTGATATTTGCACACAATTTAATAACATGCCCTGACACTGTGACACACATTATCTTAAGCACAACCAAATAAAATATAGTTACCCCATTAACTGACTTCTAGCCAACCTGGAACAGTTCCACAAAATATATAAACATTATGTGAGCTTGATAAACGTTTCAGCTACTGTTTCCCAACACAAAGCACACATTAAAGGAACGCTATAGTCACCTAAATTACTTTAGCTAACTAAAACAGTTTTAGTGTATAGATCATTGCCCTGCAGTTTCACTGCACAATTCACTGTCATTTAGGAGTCAAATCACTTTGTTTCTGTTTATGCAGCCCTAGCCACACCTCCCCTGGCTATGATTGACAGAGCCTGCATGAAAAAAAAACTGGTTTCACTTTCAAACAGATGTAATTAACCTTAAATAATTGTATCTCGATCTCTAAATTGAACTTTAATCACATACAGGAGGCCTTTGCAGGGTCTAGCAAGCTATTAACATAGCAGGGGATAAGAAAATCTTAATTAAACAGAACTTGCAATAAAGAAAGCCTAAATAGGGCTCTGTTTACAGGAAGTGTTTATGGAAGGCTGTGCAAGTCACATGCAGGGAGGTGGGACTAGGGTTCATAAACAAAGGAATTTAACTCCTAAATGGCAGAGGATTGAGCAGTGAGGCTGCAGGGGCATGTTCTATACACCAAAACTGCTTCATTAAGCTAAAGTTGTTCAGGTGACTATAGTGTCCCTAATATCCCTTTATTTCAGGTGAACGGAGGGTCTTTTTTTCAGCAGGCATCTGGGAAAGAGATGAAATAGATTGGATGTTGTAAGTGAGTTGAACCTAACAGGAGATTTCTATCCCGTATCTGATGGGACAGGAGTGATTTAATGACCCTCTTCTGTGATCAAGGTGTTTTATTTGGATATTCTAATTTTGGGGATATCATAGAGTAGGGGTAGGCAACCATGAGCACTCCATGTTGTCGAATACATCTAACCTTATACTTTGCCAGCATTTTGGATGTAGAGCATTATGGGAGCGGTAGTCCACAACATCTGGAGTGTTGAAGATTGCCTACCCATGTCGTAGAGCATGAATGACCCAATGTAGTTTTTTATTTTATAATTATAGTTTTCGAACCACACTTACCATGATACCATACCAGCCATGCAAAGTATGTGGAAGGTTTTAGTTCTACACAGGAATCTTAATTTGACCCCCATTGGCAAACAGAAATTCTCAAAATTCAGAGAGAAAGGACATTATTCATTATACTCAAGCTTCAGAAGGACAATGTCGCAGTGATATGTGCAAGGGTGACCCTAGCTGGCTGTCTTTATGTGTACACAATCTAATTCACCCTCTTTCCATCTGTAAACTATCACACACAATGCACTATCGTCTCTTCCATGCCAATTTCACACTTCATCAAATTTGAACCATTACTGCCTATTTAAAGCACACTGGTCAAATTTCTGCTCAGAGTTTTTAGAATTCAGCAATCTAGTTGCTAGCTGTGTTATTAATTTTTTACATGTGGTTTCATTTTTATATAATTAGGATAATAGAATTTTATTCTAACAATTAGACCTCCATGCTTGAAACGGTGATATATTTAAACATTTGCAGGGTTAGTTACTAATCAGTGAACTGGGGTGAATTGAAAACTCAATTTTCAAACTTTTCAAATTAGACAACTTAAAAATTTTTTTATTTCACTACTTACAACTCACCATTTAGTGAATAGATCACTAATTATTTTAAATTACCTGTATTCAATATTTGATTTAGACAATAGATGTCAATTCTTTTATATATACCTCACTATGCTGTTTGACAAAACCATGTACTTGCATAGCTTTGAGTGGGAAGACTGCACAAGTTTACACCAGCCATATAACTTCTACATCAACCATCATATAGCATGTACCTCTCTACATGTTATATGGACCATGAACCGTGTACCACAGGGGTGCCCAATAGTTAGATCCCCAGATGTTGTATAACTACAACTCCCATGATGTTTTGCAGGCATTTCGAATGCATTTAGAAATGACAAAGCATCATGGAAGCTGTAGTTTTAAAATATCTGGGGATCTACCTTTTGGGCACCTCTGGTGTACCATGGGTTGCGTTTTTCTTAACAATATGATGCATTTCTAAATTACAGGCATAAAATGGGAAGAGACAGTAATCTGTTAAACACAGATTACTCGAAACTGATTGTAGAATGATATCCCAGGACATTCCGTAAAAAGACAATTATTTTCTTCTAAAATTCTTCAGATATGCAGTCTGAACCCCTGATGAGAAGGACGAGATGGTATGCAGGCCTCAAATTCCAAATTAGCATGAATCTACTGTAATTATTTTGTCTCATGAGCATTGTGACACTTTGAGGAGCTGTTCCCTAGGCAGGTAAATTGAAGCTCTACATGTTTCTCCGGGAGAAATATATTTTTAGAAAATCTCTGTACAATCCATTTATAGGTAATAGGTAATGTGACGTTTACGGACCAGGAATACTGACTGTGATAGTACGTGCAAATGACTTCTGAAGGACTGATGGCTGACATACACATAATGCCATAATCACAAAATAATAATGTGTAATGCTTTTTTTAAAGACTATATGGAGACAGAGTATATCTAACACATATACACATTCTTATTTCTATTGCCTAGATAAATGGATACGACCTATAGATTCTAGGGAGATTACCGTATATATTGTGTGCTACATGGTAGAAAATTCTAATGCTACTGCCCTTCTTTTCCTTTGTATTTTTAAAAAAACAAAAAACTTTGAATTGATCCTTGATTTACAGCAATTAAGTAATAGATCCATTATTTTTTATTTTCCATTAGATGAACAGAAAAAGATTGGTAACTTGCTAACGTGGCCATTATCACAGCATCACAATGGACTGTTTAGTAAATAGACACCTCACTATAACCGACATGCACAAAATATTACAGCCAGCCAGCTGGCTTTCATTTCATTTTCATTATTTGTTTATAATGTTCTTGGAATATAGACAGCATTTTGCATTTCACACAAATTTGCAATTCACACACAAATACATATCCCTTCATAAACACACAGAAGCATACACTCGCAAACATGCACATTCTTACACAGCTATCAATTGGGGGCCCTCACTGGTTTTTTGGTTAGGTGTCCTGGCCCCATTATAATTAGAATTTTATAAGATTGGTTTAATTGGAAGTAGTGGAGATAAAATGTTGCATGTCTTTCTGTTTTTGTACACTTCTCAGATTAATGTAGATTGCTATTTAATAGATGGATTTAAACATTTTATCCAATATCTCAAGTCTGGTGGTGAAGTAACTGCAGAAAGTGGGAGACGAGGCAGGTTTCATAGAGTAGGGGAGATGGTTTGTCTAAATTGGGGCTGCCCTGGCACTAACACATTGCCACAGGCACCCCAGGCAAGGACAACGGAGGAGAGAGAAAAATGTGAATCCCAGGGTGAGCTCCTGTAATCAGCTGTTTGTGATGGAATTCTATCTGGCCTGGTCTCTAAGGGATGAGATATACGGAGACAAGGAAGAGAGGGGTCAGGAATTAGTATGCAGGAATATCTGATCAGCCAAAGTAATTTTCTTTAATAATCATATTCATACGGCCTGCTTTCCGCACACTAGAAGAATTAAGTATTTAATAGTAATATATTTCATCTGGCAGCAGTTCCGTTTCGTTAGGAGCCTGGATGCCTCTGTAGGGGGAGGAGGGGGAATAGGAGAAAGATGAAGAATAGAATGTATTATTTATTGTTTAACTTCTTCTATTCCTCCGCACAAAATTATATTTTAAGTTTGCTAAAGGTCATTATACATTGGCCACTATGAAACAGCTAATTTGCTATTACACAAAATAATTAGTGGGTACGGTTAATTGGAACATGTCCAAACATGCACTTCAGCCTTTATCTCTGTGCAATATTACATTGCAAGTTTTGCAAAAAAGTCTTGGGATTCGCCATTTTCAGGGATTTGTACTATGTTTAACATGTGGGTTACAAGTACTACACAAACATTCATTTCATGAGCATTGCATTGTCTGTCCGTGTATGTATTATTCACTAAACTGGGAAATGGGAGCATTGGAAATTTGAACACAAAAGATGACAAGCTGGAAAAATATACTGAATTGTATATTGGCTATTCTGGAGTAAATCTGCAATTTCTTGTCAAATTTCCATAGTTTATAAACCGATTAATAAACCAAAAAGTATATAGTTTAATACATATGTGTCAAAAGATTTACCATTATTTAATTTATTTATTATATAATTCACTTGTGAATTTAAACAATTATTCCATTGTTCACACAAACATATACTTGCAGGGTTATGCAATAAATGTTAGATTGTAGCAAATTATACAGAAATGGCAAAATTAAAGCTAAAATAGTCAAGCTATGATTATAGCGGAGTTGGAGAATTTTTCAGATCAGCTATTTTGGCCTAAATATTGCTATTTTAATGTAATGTGCTAAAATTTGTTTTTCATTGAATAGCTTTGATAGAATTTAAAGTAGATAAAAACCATGCAACAAACTCAACTGGATAATTCTAGAAGGCTGTTTTGGCTAAACCTGTGCAAGTCAGATGCCATATCACTACATTGTACCACTACAACTTCCACAATGCACAGTAACCTCATCCACTGACAGAATAAATTAAGTATTGGATAAGAGGCCATCAAGTAAATGAGAAATCCATAGGACAGAAGATTATGAAAAGAAAGAGGTTTGTGTTACATTTTGATCAAAGCAGCCTTATGCTGTTCTTTAGCAGATAATAAATATGTGTGCTTTACATCTTTAAATTATGAATTTTACCATATTCGAGAACTGAAATGTTTCAAGTCTATATGCCAAGGGTAGGTAACCATCGGCACACTAGATGTGGACTACATCTCCCCAGATGCTTTGCCAACATTATAGAAGATGTAGTCCATGCCATCTGGAGTGTTGAAGGTTGCCTACTCCTCTCCATGCAGTCATCCTCAATATTAACCCAGTTGCCTTTTCATGGTAACTTAGAACGAATGGTAGACTGGTAGCCACAGGCTTTCAGGCATCACCACCATGGCCATTTGTCTACTGCCAGTCCATGTGTGTGATCTAGATGTCATACACACATTATAGTTAGCACTCTTGATGTCATTTAAATTACGTATGTGCTCTTACAGCCACAACTCCTGAAAAGTCCTCTTCAGCTGCTGGCACTTCAGTGCCAGGACCCAACATTACTGCTGACCTCTCGCGCATGTACAAGAGTACAGCATTGAGGTCTATGGAGAATCCCACGAAACCACAGGATCCTCCACAGATAAAGCCAATTCCTTGCAGACATCACTGGTGACGACTGAATGGAATTGACATATCTAGACAGGAGAAGTATGTCTATTTCACCTATTATTATCTGTGAAGCCACAACACATACTGCAGCGCTGAATATTAGTACAAACTATACAGTTTCCCCAAACCAGGGGCATATTGAGAGATGTTAACAAGGCATTTTACTATCTTGCTTCTAAATGTTACAGGACGTCCCATCGGCTGTCCACACAAAGTGCTATTTTAAAGTGTGTGTTTGTGAGCTAACAGTGAACAGAGAGATGTGGGCCTAGCTCCTGCCTCTAATGAAAACCTTTAATCATATTCAAATAGGTTACTGTTCAGGGGGAAAATAGAAATATGGATTTGATGGCAATAAATTTCCATCGCTGGCTAAGCCCAGTGCTTAATTGTCCTGTCCCAGGGCTCACACATTTCATTGTTCGTTAGGTGCTTAAGTCCCAGTTCTCATTTTGTGTCGGTGACATTACTGCTGATGGCTCTAATACGCTCATAATTTGAAAGGGGATTTGCATGATAGAACGCAGAGTATTAAAAGAAAAGAAAAAAAAGGGAAGAGGGGAGGGGTGAAGGAGTGTGTGGGGGAGTGTGGATCTAGCTTTCACTTAAAAAAGTCACTTTCTTCAAAGTCAAATCATTGTTTTCATTAAAGTAGAAAATCTGCACATTGAGTCCGGCCGTGGCCGGCATTAGCCTTATTGTTCCTAATGGTTATTAATTATTAGGCTGAGTACTGTGATGGGGACGTGATGTCCCTGATGTCCTTGTTATTGGAGGGTGTGTGCTTGCATTTATGTGACTGTAAAGGGGGTGAGAGCAGGCACAGTTTTCTAACCTGCCATTAAATAGAAACCCAAAGCTTCCCATTACTTATTTTGTGCAATTTGATTTCTTGTCCAGTTAAAGGTTTTTTTTTCTGTATTATAGCTTTTTTAATCTTTTGGTGATAATCCTGCAATTTTTTTTAGTTAATAACAAATTTATTCACCCCCATATATTTTAAGAGTGGACAAAATAAGGTGTGAGATATGTATTGAATGTCATATTCTGAAAAGTGTTGCAGTGATTCAGAAGTGGTGGAATCAGCAATGGCATGTGACTGGTGGTTCTACAGCTTTTCATGGTAATTGCCCCACCTTTAGTACTTTGCATCATTTTTCAGAACATGGCACTAAAATAAATGTGCTGGTTCCCATTTCTAAGGTTAATATTCGGTTCTATATCACTTGCTAACCTTTTCTTTCCTGCTAACCATTAAGGCTAAAACATGACTTTGGATGTTGTCTTCCTCATTTGTATAAGTTCTTTGCTTGTGTCTCCTGGTAGTTCCTTTAGTTGCCCACTGTACCACCTGGTCTTTCCAAAAGAATATCTAGAATTAGGTCTTCTTGATGGTTTATATAGATGCCGATCACTTACAGTAAACAGCTTTATTTTATTAAGTCCAAAAGCCAGGAAGGATTGTTGTGAAGATTGAAAAGTAATTTCTCTCCATTATCGTTTTGTAATCCTGAGTGCACCTGACATGACCGACCTGTCCAGATGCTTATAACACGACAAAACGATTCTTAAATATTTTCATTTTCTTCAGTAACTGGAAGGGAGGGTGGGGGGAGAGGTGGTAGGGCTGGGAGAGGAGGGGGGTAGAGGGTTAATAGGCTGCGGTGACAGCAGAGTGTCCACATTGGGAAAAGATTAATGACAAAAATTAATCGCATGACCTTTCTTTGGAGAAGCTGGAGGTGAGGCAGGCCATTAAAGACTCTTATGTTGTAATTAACGTTTGAGGGGAGAAGAGAGCACCTCCAGAATGGATGTGATCGTTTAATTAGGGTTATGCGTCAGTGCCACAACCGGTTCAGAGAAGTCATAATTTAACCATAGCTTTAAATTACATTGCCTCAGCGTGGATGGCAGAGTTTAATGGCAGGCAGCTCAAGCTGCTGATATCGCGAAAAACAATTAGGCAAACAGCACAAATGAGAAACTCAATTAAATATTGTGAAGGAGAATTTTAAACAATTTCATGGAGGACTGCTGGTAAAAAATAATAAAAAACAACAACAAAAAAACAAAAACACACAGTTACATCAAAATGTACACTATTAAGGGCATTGTGCATAACTATATTTAAACTACCCAATGAAGACCATTTATGCAGGACATCCAGTAATCCGGTGATTAATGCAGTAAAAATTTGAAAAGTAGATTTTGTATCACGTTATAGTATATGTAAAGTATAACAGTGCAAGTGCTGCTCAGTAAGTTTTTTTAATGTGTATATGGTCATTGCTTATTTAAGGCCTGACTTACTGGACAAGCAGAAGCTGCATTATGTAGCTCTAACCTCAGAGGATTCTTTAATATTTTTCCAGTACTTTACTAGTGGCATCGGATTCCGACACAATCTCGGCCTCTTCTAATGAAATGCAGCCAGGGCTGCTGCCTGTTAAGGTCTGTTAGGCGCGATCTTGATAAAACAAGATCACGCAGTGTGTCATGAAACAGCCTGGCTTTATTTCATTAGGAGATACATAGATGGTGTCTGAATCAGAGACTCCCAGTGGTTCACAAAAACAGTGTCTCTTCTGCCCCTTCATGTCTGTGAAATCTGTGTTTTCAAACACACACTCACTTCTTTGCACTGTTTGCCTCTGAATTATTTTTTTTCTTGTGAAGTTAAGGTGTAAAAAAACAAAAAACAACAACAAAACAAAACAGAAAAATAATTTCTGTTGTATGGATTCTGAACACGACCCACTTCTGTGCATGATATCTCTGTCTTCACATTCCACACATTCCACTTTTATTGTATTACGTTGTGGATACTGTGGTATTACTTTAATACAGAGTAGGCATCACTGAGCTATTCAGGTCCCTTTAGTGGTAAACATTGGGGAGCAAATGAAAAATAGACTTGAGAGACTTTTAAAGAGCGTGTGCAAGCTTTATCAGCATAGTTCCGCTGAGTTATCTTTGTCAGTGTTGGTACAGTTGCTCTGGCCTTTTGTCTAAGATAATTTTCCCCAAATTCTGTTCCAATCTGATTTCAGTTTTTTATACATCTTGTACCATGAGCAATGCATATTCAGTGTCATTTCACAGCCCTCATTATATGGACAACTAGTTCATTATTATGTATATATATTTTATGTGCATTTTTGCAGACACAATATCATGTCTGTAATGCCTCATATAATATTATAATTACTACTTCTTTGTATTATTTTTGTACAGATTCAAATATCTATCTATCTATCTGTCTATCTATCTATCATGGTTCATATATTATATTAATACGTAATATTATTTTTCCAATTAGCAGGTACGGTAACAGTATGTCCATGAAAGCTTTGATGTATTTAAGTGGAGGCCATCTGGGCATGCGGCCTGATTTACCTTGAAAAGCTCCAGAGTGTCTTGTAACTCCTCTAAGGTCAGCTGGGAGCCTATCTTCTCCGCTACGTCAGAAGGTGATTTTCTGGAAATATGTTGGTCTAAAAATTCTGAGATCCTAACTGTGTGTCATCACCTTCATCAGTAGAATGGTTAGGTTGTATAGTATGACTGGAATGCAGCTGTGATTTCAGCTGGGAATTGATTCACCCTATCACCATGAACTGATTTTAAAGATGTGGCAAAGATGTCTTTTTTTCTGTAACATCCTAGCCAATAAACGGCCACACTTGGAGTATTCAGTGATTAGATTTATGAAAATTATGACGAAACTTCAAAGAAAGAAGGTCTCTCAATGTCCTGCATGCTTCCATTAGATCAATCTTATATGTGTGATCTAAGCATTGCACCCATCACACACACACACACAAACACACACACACACACTTCACTCCTCACACACAATGCACCCCTCACACACACACACTGCACTACACACTCACAAACTTCATCCCTCTCACACACACTGCATCCCTCTCACTCACATACACACATACACACCATCCCACAAACACACACCATCCACCCACTACACACACTGCATCCCTCTCATACACACATTGCACCACTCACATACTACTGCCCCTATACCCTACTAGAGCCCCTATCCCGGCAGTCTCCAGGTAAGTCGTCAAACTGTTCTAAAATGGTTTGACTACTTATTCTGGGAGGGCACCACGGCACTCCTGACACCATTACCACTGCATAGAGCAGTAGTGGTTAATGTGTCTGCATTGTTCCTTTAAATGATCTACCAGTGCCCCTCCCAAGATTAGGTTCTGGGTCTGCCCCTGGGGCATATGTACACGCATATATACCACGCATTAGTATGGTGGTGCATGGAATGGTTTTATACGTAAAACACAATATCAAAGCTTTAGACATTCCAAGTACATATGCAAAACATTTTCAATATATTGTTAGTATATGTTATCAGGGCATACATCATTTGATGTCAGTCTGACTCCTAGACAGAAAGGTGCATTGGGGGAATCATTTGGCACCAGGCTGGATCCTTTACAAAGTCCAGAAGAAGCTAGCATACAAAAATATTGGGGTATTTGGGCCCATCTCACCTTCAACAACACCCCGTGGAGGGCTCTCAAATAGGAAGAAAAGGAAGCGGAAAACTGTTTTCCTATGAGGAGGGTCTAATGCGCTTGCAGTGTTCGCTGCTCATGTGCATTAGCGCCCCCCCTGTGGGGACTGAGCGCTGACCCTGCATCAATCTCACTAGGTAAGTACAATAAGGGTTAATACCCTTACACTACTGTGGGGGAGTGCGCGAGACAGGGGGTCAAAGGGAAGTATAGTTATAGGAATACAACGTTGTATTCCTAGCACTATAGTATCCCTGTAAGCTACATCAACAGCAATTTGCTCAAAATTTACTATTTATTTACTTTTCTGTTTGCACTTGGTGGAATTGAACCAAATAGTAATAGCACTACGTCTGACCCAAATCAGGCATTTGGATGGTTAATTCTGGCCAGTATTGGTAATTTTCTTCTCATGTCTATGTTGGTTCACACAATGCACCTCCATGTTTAAACCAGGAAGTGAGCATTCTAGCTAGGTAAACCTCCATTCTGTTGCTCTTACTGGCTGTACTGTGTACCATGTAATGAGTTTGCATGTTGTCCTGCATCATGCTCTTGTGTAGACTGTTAGAAAATGTGGTAGGAGGGAATGATGATCAACTGAGATTGAAGGAGACATGTTGTTGGTTACGAGATGCATGTTGGTTATGGAAAAAATGTTTGTTGTGTATTTCCCATGTATCCAGGAATCCAGACACAAACGCCTTGAGAACATCTACTGTCACTTAGTGATTGGTGTAATCTCACAAGTTCCTGTTTGTATACAAACCCTAGCCTAATGTATACCGACTTATCTCAGATAAAGAGTTTGTCTTTCCCACTAGCCTGGCGTTATACTTACATGTGGAGGTGTCAAGCTGGACTACAGTATGATTGTGTGGGACGTTGTGTTTTGCTCCAGCTGTAATCAAACAAGCTATTTCCCTTACGCTTTTTCTTTTTCTTTGTTTTTTTTACATTTTATTTATAGAGAGTGGTTGTGTATGCTTTCTGAACTAACATTGCTGCATTTCACGTCTACTCTGAAGCTGTTGCAAGGGCACATATATGAGTGTGGGGATAGATACGTGATTGGTTGTGTATGAATGTGTTGGTGGGATTATCTGTTGTGTGAGTTGGTGGGGGGTGGTCTTACCTCAGTGCCACTTGGGATTCGGGCCAACAAACAGCTTCCCTCCCGCCCACCCCATGGGTTTGTTTTGTCGCAGCTAGCCGGGGGTATGTCCTTGCCAATTAAGTTTGAGGTGGATACATGTATGTGTATGTGGAATGAAGTGAGCAAGTTTTCAGGTCTTAACCTCCCCTGCTCTAAAGGGTTAACCTTAGGTTACCTGTTATGTCGTGCCCACTGAGCGAGGAAAAGGTCGGCTGGTGGTAAGCATTGGAAGGAAAGGGAGTTTATGCGGAGGGGGGAGGTGAGAGGAAGTGGTACATAGGCACATGGTCAGTTTATTGGCAAGGATGGTTGGGACACTATGTGTTAAGTTATATGTTGTGGATTCACTCTGCTGCATGAAAACTATGCCAGAGAACCTGGTATATATGGAATGACTCTACTCAACTTATTCAACTAGTAAATGTGTTTGCACATATATCTTTACACATTTTGCTGCCATCTAAAGTTCTCCCCATAAAACGGCTTCATATTATGAGCTTGGTTTAAAAAATACATGGTTATATGTGAATAAAAAATACATTTAGTGTTTGTGTAGATTTTAAGGCTGTACTGGGGTTGCTGTGTCTCTCGTGCAGAGAGAACTTGCTGGCATTTCGGATCTGGACTGCCCGTATGGGTGGGACCAGTCTGATATGCTTCAGATATGTTCTCTCTGTAATGGCACAAGATGAGCAAAAACCAGCTTGAGATCTGAGCGGGGACCCACCGAAGGGCAGGCTACTTCAGCTGCTGCCCGTTCTCAGTATACTCTTGCGACCCATTTTTTGGGGTTACAAAAAATGTTTAAAAAAAAATTACACTTGGTCAACTAACCTGCTTGATAGACTCTCCTCAGCCCATGCTCCTATTATGATTTGGGTCTCTTACAATATAGCGATATCCATATGTATGTGTCATATGAAACAATTTATCAAGACATATGGATCTCATCTTGTTGACAGGTATGAGATCTAATAAAGCATTGTTTAAATTTCTTCCATCACTGCAAAATCAATATTTCCTAGCGAAACTTTAGTTTCCATTTTATTAGTTACTCTTGCTGATTCCATCATCTAATGGTCTTTATCATTTTCTTTTCTTTCCAACTGTACCTTTAAAGGGTTGCTTTAACCCTTCTCAAACATTGTCTTTTTAAAGTTAAAAAATTGAGCATTACTATTAGGTTCCACCCTTCCCCGTTTAAATACTGAAAAAAACTTTCAAACTTACCAGCAATCTAGCTCTGGGTAAATCTCCCGGCGTCGATCTCCATCCTCTGTCTGACATCAACAGGGGGCTTTGCATGGTCCAATCACAGGCTTTTTTCATAGAGAAACCTGTAATTGGACTGTTTTACTGGCTCAGCACGAATGCTTGGGTTGGTGAAGGTGGTGTAGGGTGTGTACAAGGGAAGAAAAGGGGAAAAAAAAAGGTAAAAAGAAATGCAGGAAGGTGGGAAGGGCTTAATAAATGAAGGGACGGAGTGGAAAAAAAGCTTGCCTGCAAGGGTGGAAGTTGATCACATTTGTCGCAAGTGCGCTGTGCGTGCAGACGACAGATGTAAAATATGCACAGCCACAGGCGTAACTAGAAACCACAGGGCCCCGGTGTGAAAACTGCCCCAGGGTCCCCCCCGTACATCTACCCCCCGCCACCTCCCTATATGTCAACCCTCCCCCTTCCATACATTGGCTCCCCCACACATGCAGACACACACATAGACACACACATATACAGACACACACGCATATTATTATTATTTTATTATTTATATAGTGCCAGCAAATTCCATAGCACTGTACAATTGGATACACACAGACACACACATACAGACACACACACACACATAAAGACACACACATACATACAAACACACACACATGCATACAAACACACACATACATACAAACACACACACACACACACACACACAGACACATATATACAGACACATATACAGACACACACATATATACAAACACACATACATACACACACAGACAGACAGACACACATACATACAAACAAACACACACTCACAGATATACATACAGACAAACAAACAGACATTCACAGATATACATACAGACACACATACACATACACACATACATACAGACACACATACAAATAGACATGCACACACATAGACATACAGACACATGCATACAAACACACACAGACACATACATACAAACACACACACATACACACACTGACATACACACACATACATACAAACACACACACACACACACACAGACATACATACAGACACACATACATACACACACACACATACATACAGACACACATACAGAGAAACATTCATACAGACACACACATATATGCAAACAAACACACACATATACAAAATAGTTTAGTTACTCTCCTGTTTCCTACTTTAGATGCAGGAGGGTGACTTCCCTGGTGTCCAGTGGTGGCTCAGCCTGATCGGAGTCAGAGTTCCCACTCGGACTCCCTTCTCTCCTTCCTCCCACGCGACTCCTGGTGGTTGTTGGGAGGAAGTGGCCGGGGCTGTCACTTCCTCCCAGCAACCACCAGGAGTCGCGCGGGAGGACGGAGAGGAGTCCCTAACAGCATGGGCCACCTGATGGGCACCTTAACGTGCGGCCCCGGCAGTTATACCGCACAGCCCTGGGTCGCAAAAAAAGGCGTGCACCACAGTCGCAGGGGTCCATAGGGCGGCTGGATCCCCTAGAGTGAGGGGGCCCGGTCACAGCTGCGACCCCTGCAACCACGGTAGTTCCGCCACTGTGCACAGCATTGACATTAGGCAGCCTGTTACATTCGTCCGGGCTGCCTAAGTCACATGTGCGGGGGGATGTAACTAGCTACTAGTGCCAATATCTTTATATGCGCTGTGTTTTAAGATGAAAAGATGCACATACAAACTCCTACCACTATGACCACTTCAAATCACTGTAGTGGTCATGATGTTGAGAGGAAGCTCAACAGGTTCACCATGTTACTGAGACTGAACTGTGTCCTGGGGGAAGTGCAGCAAGGGCTGGCTGCATAGACAGAAACAAAAGTGATTTAACCCCTTAAGGATTTCCCCCCACAGTTTTGCATATAATGATTTCTACACATCAAGTGCAACTAAAACAAAAGTCCTGATTAAATAATAGAAGAAAATAATAGAGCAGTAAAAAAAATTCTATATTTATAACTGAATTTTTTGTAAATATATAATACATAAACACATAAATATAGATTTCCTTTTTTTTGTGCTCCTTCTTTTTTCCCCTCCATTGGTAACTTCTCACTTGATCTGTGAATCAAATGGAGTGAAAATGCGCCAATATGTGTATTGCAATATGTATACATATATATTATGCATATATTTTGTAGTACAATAGTTGACCAATATGCGCTCCATTTGGGTTGTCAGAATTATTTTTCTCAAAATGATTACTTGATCTAAATTTGTCCAAACTGAAACGAAATCCGAATTGTCTAAAACTATTTTTTTTATACCTGGGTCTCATTGGTGTTAGCAAGGCTTTAAAACTGCTCCAGCCAATGGAGGATGGCATGGTATGTCCTAAAGATGGAAAGAGGTTATCTCCTTAATTACAGAGAATTGAGCAGTGCTACTGCAGGGGCATGAGCTATACACAAAAACTGCTTCATTAAGCTAAAGTTATTTTGGTGCTTTCAGTATCCATTGAAGATTGCATGCAGGAACCCTGCTTACCATAGCAGAGTCTCTCAGGCTTATATTGATGCTTCCGAATGTCCGAAGTGCCGAATTTCGGAATGCTGAACCGAATTGCCGAAGTGGCGAATTTCAGAATGTTGAACTGAACCGAATTGCTGAAGTGCCGAATTTCTGAAGTGTCGAAGTTCTGAAGTGCCGAAAGTTCCAAAGTTTCGAAGTTCTGAACCGAAGTGCCAAACTCCCGAATTTCGGAATGCCGACCCGAACCGAATATTTTTCCCATGCACATCTCTAATATTTATTTATAAATTAAATACTTAGAATTTTTTCTACCGAAACATTGCGCTTTATCGCATCATAAACTATCCAAAGTTCATAGGTTGTGCCCAATTCCTGGCTAATCCATGGCAGCATCACGATAGGGTTGGCTCCTCCCCCTTGGCTGTTTAGGACAGGAAACACTTTACAAATAGACCCTCCTTACCTGGTATCATCAGTCTTTTTTCCTGTCCTCTTGGCTGTGGATATGGTTTAAGGTAAATTGCATTACCTTTACTAGATTTTGTTTTAGTTTACCTCTCCTTAGGTTCTTGCCCAGGAGAGTACAGCCTCTCTCTCCTGGAAGCCATTGGGCCCTCTACTTGTTAGGTATGGTGATACTCCTAACCGCTGTGTTCTTTTAACGCAGCGGTACATGTGTAATATATACTTACTATTTGAATACAGGTCCGCAGTGATCTTTTATGTAGTGGTACTATAAAGGGGTATGTATTATAATGGCAAACTATATCCGCTGTGATCCTATGGGTAGCGGTTATTATGTGTGACACATGCATTAAAGATTCAGCCTCTTGCCGCTGTGATCCTCTGGGTAGCGGTAAAACTGCAGCCACATATATATAGAATTGTATGTCAGCCACTGTGATCCTTATGGTACCGGTAATTTATTAGTACCTGCAAATATATGGAAGCATATAAGCCACTTGCCAGCTGGGAAATACTTGTGTTTGGATTATTTTCTATGGGGGACCTCCTTAGGGCATTGCCTTTGGTTTCTTGCAGGCACTCACCTTTATCATAGGCTTCTTTCGGTTATTTCATGCCATTTCGCCATCTTGGTCGGCGTTCTCTTTTATGTACTCTGGTCTTGTTCGTGAGTTTAGAAGGTTTGCGTTCACATGAATTTCACTTTAGTTTATTTTACTTTAACAGTAGGGAATTAATTCCTTTTGTGGCACGAACGGACTGTTCGTTTCTTTCAACATGAAATTAGGTTTTAGTTTAAATTTTTTAATTTCAGCACATTTCGGCTATTTGGGGATGTGCAATTGCACGAATTTCCTGTGAGAGGTCCTGTATTGTCAGGCTTCCTATTTAAAGGTACTGTTTTCACTCTCCTTTGAGGTTTTCTGCTCTGACGATTATCTCTGTTAGTGCAGGTTGGTTATTCCTCTTTTTTCTTTAGGTGTGTTTCATTTTTTTCTTCTCCATTCCTCTTAATTTGTTTTTGTTGTTTTCTTTTTACTTAGCTGCTCTTATGTTTGTGTCAGATCTTCAAGGGGGTCCCCTTCTAGGCATTTGAGGTAAACTTTGTTTTTGTTTTTGTTGTTGTTTTTTATAAAAGAGTGCATTAAATTTGATCTGCTTCAAGTTCTCTTCAGTGTCCATGCTTTTGGCATATCTGAGAGATCGGGAGGTGGAAAGAAATTGCATAAATCTGACAGATGTATAGCCTGTGATGTTAAAGCTCTGGAAGGGAAGAAGTTATGTAGTAACTGCCTGTCTGAAGCAGCTGGTTCTCCAAAGGATCCTTCTCCAGATATGATTAAGTGGATGCCAGTACATAAATCTATGGAGCAGCATACATCTCGCAAATGCCCAAGAATCTCTTCTCAAAGAGACAGGGAAGATTCTGATTCTGATGTCTCATTTGCAGAGGTACAGTCAGAAGAGGGTGAAGGAATGTATTCCTCAGATGATCCAGATTCGGTAGAGGATCATATGGATATTAAGACTATTGAGCAGCTCATCAAAGCTATTAGACATAGTCTGAAGTTAGAATAAACGGATCAGTCTAAGCCATTCTCTTCCAGTATTTTTCCAGAGCTTGTAAAAAAGAGACCTTCCTTTCCGACCCATGAAGCCCTTAAAGAATTGTTTGAGACAGAATGGAAAAAACCTCAAAAGAAAGTTTCAGTTCAAGGAAAGATATCTAAACTGTATCCTTTCTCTGAAGAGGATTCTGCAGTTTGGAATAATGCACCCAAGATTGATGCAGCTATCATTAGACTGGAGAGAAACACAGCTCTGCCTTTGGATGTGATAGACTCTTTTAAAGATGCCATGGATAGAAGGATTGATAATAACATGTGTAAGAATTATGTTTCAGCAGCAATAGCTTGTAGACCTGCAGTAGCTATGACCTCTGTGGCTAAAGCACTTATGAAGGAAGACATTGAGAAGGGAGTAAGTAGACCATCTCTGTTGCAATTTTTGTCCGAGCTTGAATGGGCGGCTGAATTTTTCTCCTTTGCCTCTCTTGACATAGTCAGAACTCTTGCAAGGAACATGGCATTGTTAGTGTCAGTGCGCAGGACACTCTAGCTGAAATCCTGGAATGCTGATTTATTTTCTAAAAAAAGCGTATGTGGTATCCCATTTCAGGGGCAATTATTGTTTGGTAAACAATTGGAGGAGGCCATTAAACGTGCTGCGGCAGGCAAGAAGGTGTTTCTTCTTCAGTATTGTAGGGGTAAGAGGGTCTCCCAGAACTGGCAAGACAGAAGATCCTTTCGTAATAGACCTTCCTTTTGAGAATCAAGGCCATATAAGCCTGGAAGAGAATTTTCAAGAGGATCAGCTTGGAGAGGAGGCCAGTCTGGAAGAAGTATCAGATCTTCAGCTGGTTCAAGAGCAGCAACTAGATCCTTCTGAAGATTTTGGGCCCCAGGTCTCAGGTGTAGGAGCACATCTCCACCTCTTTTGGGAGACCTGGGCACAAGCAAGTCTGGATCCCTGGGTTGTTTCCATTTTCAAAGACGGGTACAGACTGGAATTACGAGAGTTTCCCTGTCACATCTTTTTCATGATATCAAAAACTACAGGTATTCTAGAAAAAAAGGCAGGCCCTCATCAGAGATATTTCCAATCTTCTTCAAGGAGATGTAATCTTAAGGGTTCCTCGTCAAGAGAGATTTCAAGGCATCTATTCAAATCTCTTCCTGGTCCCAAAACCTTTGGGAGATTGGCGTCCGATCCTAGATCTGCACAATCTGAATCTATCTCTCAATGTCCAAAGGTTCAGGATGGAGTCTTTGTCATCTATAATCGCAGTAATTCGTCCAGGAGACTGGGGATTTAAAAGACACCTATTTCCACATCCCGATAGCAGTTCACCATCAAAGGTTTCTAAAGTTTGCAATTCTAGGAGAACATTTTCAATTCAGAGCTGTTCCCTTCGGTCTAAGTACAGCACCAAGGACCATTTCAAAGGTTCTTTTAGCTCTGATAGCGAAGATGAGACTGCAAGGCCTTAATATTTACCATTATCTGGACGACATCCTTCTAGTAGGAGAAACAAGAACCGACCTTATAGTTCAAAGAGATGAGGCAATATTGATTTTGGAAGAGTTTGGATGGATTATCAACTACCAAAAGAGCCAGCTGTCCCCTTCCCAGATATATGCTTTCTAGGAGCATGGTTCTACACAAGATTGTCTGTCTGCAATTTATATTCCAGGTCCAGAAAACTCGAGGGCCGACTTCCTCAGCAGGCATTATCTGGATCCCAAGGAATGGCAGTTAAATCCCAAGATTTTCCAACAACTGGTTTTACGTTGGGGAATTCCAGAAGTGGATCTCATGGTAACAGCCACAAACTCCCAACTTTCTCAATAAACATCTGCATATGCATATGCATATATAAAAAGGCTGCATATGTGACCAACTCAAGCCCAGTGTGCCCCTTTAATGTTTACTTTATATAGTATATGTTCTGTTACATTACGTGTGTAACGTATTATACAATCATATGCTTAAACCCTTCAGAACAAGAGGTTAGGAAAATCCTGTTAAATCATGAAGGTCATGGTACGTCCTGGAAAGTTTTAAAAATGAGAGGAATCTCTATGTATTTTATTACTCAAACACTTGCATTCAGGTGAGTGTTTCTTGTTTTCTTTTGTATCTTAAGATCTTTGAATAACTTGAATATGGGCATCCCGTAAGGTGGCTTAATCTAAAATCCATCATTAGTTTTGGACATGGCAAACACTAGACAAGTGGTAGGCTTAATGATTGTATAACATCTTGTGTGACTAAATCCCTATTATTGTACCCAAATTAGGGATTTTATGAGCTATATAAGCTTTAGATTTAGTTAAGTGTGGAGTGCACTGGTTTGTATATAACATAAGTCTGTCAATGTCTGGGGTAGGCAACCTTTGGCACTTCAGATGTTGTGGACTACATCTCCATGGCAAAGCATCAGGGACGATGTAGTCCACAACATCTGGAGTGCAGAAGGTTGCCTACCATTTGTCTATGTTTTTGCACAGAAGACTTTGCACATAAAGAATACTAACAGAATTAATCTGAGAATATGATTTAGTCAGTCTCTATATATTTCCCTTTTAATTAAAATATATAGTTAATACAATAAAATAGTTTGTATAGGTATGAGTATTGAGATTTCTCTTATTTTTGTCATATGCATATTTCCTTTTGAATAGTGGGGTGTGAGGTTACATCAAATGTGAGGTTACAGTGTTTAGAGGGGAACAAGTGCAGCAAGAAGTAGGTAATGCTAAAATGTGGATTCTTTGTACAGAGGTGTGGAGGATTTGAAGAAAGCTATGCGGGGGCTGTTAATAAATGGTGGGAAGTAAGGGTGTGTGGCTTAGACTCAGATTTGAATAGACAGTGCTGAGCTCCGTTCAGGTAATCTGGCAATCAGCTTCATGAGAAACAGGAACGTGTCCACAGGCACACATACTTGACCACTCAGAGAATGCCAGCCCAAGAAACAACAGGTAAGGTAGCCCTCTGTGGCTCACTTATTCTCAACCAAACAACAACTGCATCACAAGATGGTGGGAATGTGAACACTGTCAGCTTCAAGGCAGCCAGCCCAGATGAAGAGTTAGGTGACTCATAGACCTGCTCCCTTGACATAACAACAATTTTGAGGCACATGAGTGAGTTGAAAACCTGTCTTGCCAGTGAGGTAGACCACAGTAAGTGAGAAGTTAAAGCTAAAGAAAATGGTTCTGGGAAAAGGAAAGAGGGGAAAAGGTGGGTGACCTATCCAATTGCACTAAACTAAATATCTTAAGAATCAGAGTCCTACTAGAAAACATTGAGTACAGGTGATTCTTCTTCATATTTTTTGACCAAAATTAACAGAGATTCCAGATCAGATGTGGCTCATAGATAGGACTTAGAGAGCCTTAAATTTCAGGAGGTCAGAGGGCGAGCAGCCAAGAGATATTGTTGTACACTTCCACTTCTACACTACTAAAGAGGCCATCATCAAGCTGTCCAGATCTATGGTACTTACCTACCTGGATGAACCGATGCAGATCTATTAAATTTTTATTTTAAACTACCCAGAAAAAAAGGAGGATTTGGAATTTGGTGACAGACATCCTATGTGTGCAGTGGATTACATTTGCATTGGGATTCACCTTCAGGCTGCTGGCATGAAACAGTGACCCTAGTGCCCAAGTTGGATCCACAACACTTCTTCCGCTCCTTAGTTATGGCTCCATCAGAAGGATTGCAGCTTCCATCAACAGATTTATCACCCATGTCTCATCTTCCCTCAGAATGGGGAGAAGTTGGAGTCCCAACATAGGCCTCCTTTCCCAGGTGAAAAGGTCATATAGAGGACTTTTCAGTCCAGGCAGGTCCTAATCCCTTGCCGACAAGGTTTTTGTAAATTTAAGAGTTTCCTTGAGTATTGACACGGAGCAATTGCATGTCACTGGACACCTTTCTCATAGTCATATGGACCCCCAAAGACAAATGCCATAGTGGGTTGAAAAACTGTGATACCCAAATGTCTAAATTAAATTTAAAATGATCCACTATTGATGCAGAAAATGCTGGGAGAGGAATTCCTCAAAATAAAGGGCATCATCTCTAAGTGCTACAAAACATTTTTTTTTATTTTTTTTTATTTTTTTTTATAATTCTTTATTTTTGTAGTTCAGGTATCAAAGGCATGAACAACTGATAATGTGTCATTAGTTCAAGCAATAGGTAGTGCAAACAAAGAAAAATAACATAGACATCAAGGGATGCACTTTTTTTTTTACATGTATATAGAAACAAGAACTGTATCCTTAGCCTGGAGTGTGTCCTGTTTGTAAGGAGTGGTTGATCAGTAGGTATAGGGTATTTTGCAGGCTAGGGTGAAAGGCTCTACTTAGTGAATTAGTGTAGTAAGTGGTGATATGGTAGGTGTTTGAAGGTCATATAGTATGGGCGACCAACCTGTTGGAGTTATGCAGGGTGTGGAGAATTATACGTGAGGTTCTGTTGAGCCGCATGTGGGTCAAAGTAGAGGGGATGTATGAGTCAACATAGCTCCAGGTGTTGAGGCATATTTGCCCTTGCATTGAGTGTTACCCTTAACCAAGGGAGCGGCAGGGGTGTGGGGGGGGTGTGGTTAATGCCTTTATAAAATTAGTAGCAGTTGCGCATTTCATTGCGCTAGCGTATATATTTAGTTGTTCCCCACATATGGTGGGTGAAGATCTAAGGCCCTTGTCAAGGTAGCGGCACTGTGGTTAGAGTTTTGAAAACATAAGAGAAGGTGATAAAAGAGAGGAAAATAAAATAACAGTGAAGAACGTCAGAGAACCATTCAGAGCCCTCCGCTGGGCCAGTACATGAAGCACAGCGTCGGTCTCAGTCAGGTGTCTGGCTGGCTTCTTATTGCATTCCTTGGTGTGAAGTTTACCACTGTGGCTGGGTCCAAGGTGCTAGTTGAGGCTTGCGGGTTCAAGCTTGGGGTCTGCTCCATTATTCCCAGCAAAGAAAGGAGAGTCGGTGCTTCTGCTGCTGATGTGATTATGTTGGTCGTTCCCTTGTGGGTCACTGATGGGGATCTCACAGGTCCCCATCTGTATGGTATGGTGGCTGTGCGCAGGCGGTGTGTGGTCTCACTGAGGGATTTGCGCCATTGTGGTGTGGCTTTTGTTAGGTCTTGGTAGAAGGATAACTGTGAGTCCTCAAAAGGGAGTGGTGTCTTGCCCCTCAGTGCTGTCATGATTTGCCCCTTGTCGTGAGATGAAGAGCATTTGAGAAACGTCTCGCGCCTGAGTGGATGATGTTTTAAGTGAGGTAGGGAGGCGATATATGCCATCTATGACGATCTTTCGAGCTACAGCAGGAGGTAGGAGGGATGACAGGAGGCGTCTCAGGTAATGTGGTAATTCGTCAGTTGAGAAAGTGGCAGGGATGCCCCGGATTTTAACATGATTGCGTCGGCTTCTGTCTTCCATGGTTGACAGATGTGTAGCCAGCGTCTGTTGGTTTGATTGAAGTTGGTGCAAAGTACCATTTATGCTATGCATGCCACTGTGTAGATTGGTAATTTCTTCTTCTGCTTTCTGAACTCTGGCTGTGATTTTTTTCACATCTGCTTTGATGATATTAGTGTCTGCTGCCAGCATTTTGTGGATATCCTGGAGTAGGAGCTGTAGGTCGTGTTTGGTGGTAGGTGCTGCTGTAGTGTCCATGAGAGTGGGTTGGTCAGTTTAGGAAGCTGTGGGGGTCTGTGACCCCTGGGAAGCTGTGGGTGTCTGTGCTCCTGTTTCCTCCTCTGGGGTGCTGGTGTGTGTGCTGGAGGCCCTCTGCGGGCGCCATTTTGTGAGGTACTTGCCTCTGCAGAATGGTCCCGATATCCCTATTGTCTGGTGGGATCCCAGCCCCAGATTTTTGTGAGCGGCACCCCATGGCTGTTGTGTGCTTAGCTGGAGGCGCGGAGCCCCAGCCCGGTTCGTCTGGGTCTTTGAAGTTGCGGAGGAGTGTTTCCCAGCTAGTGAGGGCAGGTGAGTAGGAGGCCCTGGGTCGGCGCCGCTGTTTGTGCACATGTGCGGGTTGAAAGAAAGGCATCAGTGGACTCAGCATGGCTCCCCAATCAGGTGAGGTTGATTTGGGTCAGGAACAATGTGTGTGGCCGGCATTGGAAGGCTTGTTTTGCCGGGACTGCTCGGAGCTGTCACGACAGTGACCCCTTCACGCAGAGAGTAACCCAGAAAGAGACGTATACTGGACCTTATGTTCCTACTATGGAACCCTTAACCACCCAATTTTAAACAAAGGGAGGAAGGGACCTTATGTTCCTACTATGGAACCCTTAACCACCCAATTTTAAAACAAAGGGAGGACAGGGATATATAGTCGGGTTGCTGAGGATAATAGGGGGTAACCCCTAATAAGTAATACTTACAGAAAGAGGAGGAGAGGAAAAAATACACAGAAGCCTAGAGGTTATAAAGTGTCAATTTCATAGGCTTTCAATGTATAGAAAGCAACCCAGTGAAAATTAATATAAAATTTAACTTTTAATTAATACTGTTAAGATCACAATAGGTATATAGAAAATAAAAAGCGGACTAATAGAGAAAGGGGAAAAAAGACGAAACAGTAGAAGGTAGCACAGGAATAGTCAATAATAAATCGAAAAGGACCCAAGGAGGTACATAATCAAGGATCCCCTGTGACTGCCTAACAATGATAAATAACTGATAAATCCCCTAAAGTCTCTAAAGTCCACTAACCACTAATCAGAGTAATAAGTAGAGTTATATAGATAATAACTGATAAGAAAACGCCAATAGAGTAAGTCTAAGAAGTGTATATAGAAGGTGGTTGATTAGGAGCTTAAATAGAAAATAACAGCTGCAGCATCGACCTTATCTATCTCCACCACCCTCTAACTCGACTAGTCCCGACGCGCGTTTCGCCACACTGGCTATTCCAAGGGAACCGAACAAGACGCTGGCGGTCATTTAAATATACCGCCCACCTCTATGATTGGTTAGATTCTAGCCAATCAGACGCGAGGGGGCGAAGTCAAATGCCGATGCCGGTTAACCCCTGAGTGGTTCGGGAACCGGACACGGACAATAGCAACGGTAATAAAATGTCTATGGAACGTGTTAAGTTACACAGTAACCAGTTAAAGTCAGTGCTTAGTGGAAACATCGGTTGTACATCCAGGAGTTCAAGGGGAATAACTTGAACTATCAGGTATATGCTAAGGGCATAACGAATGTAAACAATAGTGGAAATTCGAATCTTATGCATTCTCAAGTGGTCAAAAATCGGCAGAAAGACACATACTGGCCATTATGAGTAAATGGTCAGTTGTCAAATGAATTCAAGATAGTTTATTGTAGGAATAAAACATTAAAAGAGACATTTTGTGTCTGAAAGAATTATATCAGAAGGGTCAAAGACCCAGTGAGAGTAAATAGTCAACGGTGTTCAGCATTTCTCCATCTGTATAGCAAGCCCCAAAATGTATATGGGCTTTAGGGTAAAGGTGTCTCCTAGTGTGCATTAATAATAGCAACAATTCTCAGGATAAGAGTTGGTTCCCTAATAAGAGTCAATTGGTCATTTCAATTCAAATTGAAAATCTATATTGATTAAAGGTAAATCAGACAGAAAGTAAAAAAGAGTTTGAAAAGTACAAAAAAGGTAAATGTACATTCAGTATAATCTGATGGTTCACCAAAGAAACCAAAGTCTTTAAGTGGATGAATTCAATTGGTGTGTAGATGTTACAGGAACCGAATCGGATGTTTCCAAAAAAGGAAATAAGCTATTCGAATTATCTTAGTTGCAACGAACAAAGCTAATAGCAATTGCCATAGCTTAAGATACTGGTCCACTAGGAATGAATGAATGGAGTAAAATTAAACTCCTCATTTAGTCCTTTGGGATATAGTGTTTGAAACAAATAAATCCAACGGGATTCTGCTTTCAGTAATGAGATGTTTATGTCACCTTTCCTGTGGTTTTGAAAGTTCTTTTGGATTACCTGAAATACCACCCAAGGAATAGCCAAAGGTCAAGGGAGTACAGAAATCAAAATACACGAGAAATAACCAAGCCAATAATCGGGGAACCAGAGAGGAGAGGAGTCAGTAAGGAAAGCCAAGAGTCAAAATACCAGAAAACAGTCAAAAATCGCAAGAGCACTAGAGGGAACACACAAGAACCATACTAGGACGCTGAAGAAATGACAGAGGCGCCCTTTTATAGTGAGGTGTCTTTTACTTTAAAGCCACGCCCCCAAAATGTTCGGGAGTGTGGCCACGTTTGAATTTCCGCGGCAATATTCTGATGACGTCGGCGCGCATGCTCCGCGTCATAAGAAGAGGCGTGTTGCAGACAGTGCCGCCTCCCGGAAGCAGCAAGGGAGAACGCCACACTGCGCGGGTCCGGTGGGTAAAGGTAAGTTATCGTTACAATACCCACCCCTTGAAAACCGCCCCCAGGGCGGGGAGGACTTGGCTTGCGAGAACGACGCCTTTCAAATTAACGAACCAGACGAGGAGCATGTACATCAGAGGCATCTACCCATTAATGTTCCTCGGGACCATACCCTTTCCAATCTAAAAGATATTGGAGATGACCCCTAGAAATATGAAAGTCCAAAACAGATTTCACTTCATATTCGTTTTGGCATTCTACGAGTGTAGTAGGAGGTCTTGTGGGTATTCAAGTATAATGTTTACAAATTAAAGGTTTAAGGAGAGAAACATGAAAGGAATTGAGTATCTTCATAGTAGCCAGTAAATCCAGGCGATAACAGACCGGATTAATGCGTTTGAGTATTTTGAAAGGACCAATAAAACGTGGAGCGAACTTCATAGAGGGGACTTTTAATTTTATATTGCGAGAGCTCAACCATACTCTGTCCCCTGCCATAAAAGTTGGAGTGGCTCTTCGTTGTCTATCTGCTTTACACTTTTGTGTTTCAGCCTTTTGAATCAATATATGTTTAACCCCTAACACTTGGCACTCCCGTGGATGAAAAGGAACTCGGAAGAGTAATAGGGTCAAAACCATAATTGATATAAAAGGGACTGTGTTGCGTAGATTCGTGAACCTGGTTATTGTGGGCAAATTCAGCCCATGGAAGTAAATCTACCCAATCATCTTGTTGATCGGAAGTAAAGCAGCGAATGTATTGTTCGAGTGCTTGATTCATCCTTTCTGTAACCCCGTTAGATTGGGGATGGTACGAAGAAGATAGATTAAGATTGATACCTAATTGGCTACAAAATGCTCTCCAGAACCTGGAAACAAATTGTGGACCTCTGTCAGAAACTATATCCACAGTTATACCGTACAAATGAACCACTTCCCTTATAAACAAAGTGGCCAGTTCGGAGGAATAAGGTAATTTAATTAAAGGGACAAGATGGGTAATCTTCGAAAATCTGTCTATTATAGTCAGTATCACTCAGTGATTCTTGGAAGAGGGTAGGTCCACTACGAAATTCATGGCGATACTCGACCAGGGCTTATCGGGAATAGGCAATGGCATGAGGAGACCTAATGGACGACCCTTAGGAGATTTATTAGAGGAACAGATGTTACAGGCCAGAACAAATTCTCGAACATCTTTCTTGTATGAGGGCCACCAGAATTGCTTTTCAAGTAAAGATTCAGTCTTATGGATAACGGGATGACCGGCAAATTTGGAGTCGTGCACCAAGGACAAGACCTTTCTTCCATACGCCAAAGGTACGTATAATTTTCCCCGAGGTATAGTCAAAGAGATATGATCCTGGAATGTGGATAATTCCTCCATTAAACCAGAAGAGATCTTAGCATGAACTGTGGCTACAATGTCATTGGCTGGGATTATGGACAATGGGTTTCGGGGGAAGATAGATGTGTATGTTGTCGGGATAGGGCATCAGCTTTAGTATTCTTAGATCCAGGTCTATATGTCACAATGTAATTAAAGCGTGTTAAAAACAAAGACCAACGAATCTGCCTGTCAGACATTCTTTTAGCCTCCCCGAAATAGGAAAGGTTTTTATGGTCAGTAAGAATGGTGATCAGTACAGGTGACCCCTCTAATAGATGACGCCATTCCTTGAGAACTGAAATAATAGCTAACTGTTCCCTATCTCCTATATCATATCTTTTTTCCGTTTCAGTCAGTTTCTTTGAAAAAAACCCACAGGGATGTAGAGGTTGATCTCTGTGATAGTACAGCCAGTCTCCGATGCATCTACCTCTAACAGGAAGGGACGTGAAGGATCTATTTTTAACCTCTCAAAAGCATCCTTAGCTTCGAGACACCACTCCATATGATTCCTACTTTTTTTTGTCATGGCGGTAATAGGAGCGGTAATAGAGGAAAATCCCTTGATGAATTTCCTATAATAATTAGCAAATCCCAGGAAACGTTGGATGGCCTTAAGTCCAACGGGTAAGGGCCAGTTTAAGATTGCTTCCAGTTTTTTGGGTTCCATTTGAAAACCCGAACCTGAAATTCTATTAAAACCTAGGAAATTAAACTTTTCCATGTCAAACAGGCACTTTTCTAATTTACAATAGAGTTCGTTCTTCAATAATTTAGAAAGAACCAACCTGACGTGCCTATGGTGTTACTTAATACTCTTAGAGTATGTGGCAAACCATGCCACTAAGAGACTGACTTTTCTATGCGAATGAACGCTTGGATTATAATGGCCGTACGTTTGCTAAGGCAGGAATTATGAGAGACTCAGTTCACGAACTATCTACACTTCAGTTTATGCAAACAACAGTAAACTACCGAATGAGGGACCACCCCGGTGTGGTCGTGTGCCCCTTATTACCGAAGGCAACAATGTTGCAAAGGGTACTAATTGAGAGTTCGTGTGCGGCCGCCATTTTGCCTACCGAACACGTGGCGGTGGCCATCTTACGCACGAACAGCGGTACTTGGTCGTCGAACGCCTGGAACTCAAATCAGGCATTTGACTAACCAAGTACCGCTAAGACCTCCAGCACGCTTAAAAGTGCCGAATGAACCACCCGAACCTCCCAGCATTCGGTATGTGGAATCCCACGAACTAGACTTTCGGGACTTTTTATTCACGAAAAGAGACCGACCGCAGGGCCAGAATTCATGGAACTATTTTCGGCTACTGTGCTGCTGTAGTGTCCATGAGAGTGGGTTGGTCAGTTTAGGAAGCTGTGGGGGTCTGTGACCCCTGGGAAGCTGTGGGTGTCTGTGCTCCTGTTTCCTCCTCTGGGGTGCTGGTGTGTGTGCTGGAGGCCCTCTGCGGGCGCCATTTTGTGAGGTACTTGCCTCTGCAGAATGGTCCCGATATCCCTATTGTCTGGTGGGATCCCAGCCCCAGATTTTTGTGAGCGGCACCCCATGGCTGTTGTGTGCTTAGCTGGAGGCGCGGAGCCCCAGCCCGGTTCGTCTGGGTCTTTGAAGTTGCGGAGGAGTGTTTCCCAGCTAGTGAGGGCAGGTGAGTAGGAGGCCCTGGGTCGGCGCCGCTGTTTGTGCACATGTGCGGGTTGAAAGAAAGGCATCAGTGGACTCAGCATGGCTCCCCAATCAGGTGAGGTTGATTTGGGTCAGGAACAATGTGTGTGGCCGGCATTGGAAGGCTTGTTTTGCCGGGACTGCTCGGAGCTGTCACGACAGTGACCCCTTCACGCAGAGAGTAACCCAGAAAGAGACGTATACTGGACCTTATGTTCCTACTATGGAACCCTTAACCACCCAATTTTAAACAAAGGGAGGAAGGGACCTTATGTTCCTACTATGGAACCCTTAACCACCCAATTTTAAAACAAAGGGAGGACAGGGATATATAGTCGGGTTGCTGAGGATAATAGGGGGTAACCCCTAATAAGTAATACTTACAGAAAGAGGAGGAGAGGAAAAAATACACAGAAGCCTAGAGGTTATAAAGTGTCAATTTCATAGGCTTTCAATGTATAGAAAGCAACCCAGTGAAAATTAATATAAAATTTAACTTTTAATTAATACTGTTAAGATCACAATAGGTATATAGAAAATAAAAAGCGGACTAATAGAGAAAGGGGAAAAAAGACGAAACAGTAGAAGGTAGCACAGGAATAGTCAATAATAAATCGAAAAGGACCCAAGGAGGTACATAATCAAGGATCCCCTGTGACTGCCTAACAATGATAAATAACTGATAAATCCCCTAAAGTCTCTAAAGTCCACTAACCACTAATCAGAGTAATAAGTAGAGTTATATAGATAATAACTGATAAGAAAACGCCAATAGAGTAAGTCTAAGAAGTGTATATAGAAGGTGGTTGATTAGGAGCTTAAATAGAAAATAACAGCTGCAGCATCGACCTTATCTATCTCCACCACCCTCTAACTCGACTAGTCCCGACGCGCGTTTCGCCACACTGGCTATTCCAAGGGAACCGAACAAGACGCTGGCGGTCATTTAAATATACCGCCCACCTCTATGATTGGTTAGATTCTAGCCAATCAGACGCGAGGGGGCGAAGTCAAATGCCGATGCCGGTTAACCCCTGAGTGGTTCGGGAACCGGACACGGACAATAGCAACGGTAATAAAATGTCTATGGAACGTGTTAAGTTACACAGTAACCAGTTAAAGTCAGTGCTTAGTGGAAACATCGGTTGTACATCCAGGAGTTCAAGGGGAATAACTTGAACTATCAGGTATATGCTAAGGGCATAACGAATGTAAACAATAGTGGAAATTCGAATCTTATGCATTCTCAAGTGGTCAAAAATCGGCAGAAAGACACATACTGGCCATTATGAGTAAATGGTCAGTTGTCAAATGAATTCAAGATAGTTTATTGTAGGAATAAAACATTAAAAGAGACATTTTGTGTCTGAAAGAATTATATCAGAAGGGTCAAAGACCCAGTGAGAGTAAATAGTCAACGGTGTTCAGCATTTCTCCATCTGTATAGCAAGCCCCAAAATGTATATGGGCTTTAGGGTAAAGGTGTCTCCTAGTGTGCATTAATAATAGCAACAATTCTCAGGATAAGAGTTGGTTCCCTAATAAGAGTCAATTGGTCATTTCAATTCAAATTGAAAATCTATATTGATTAAAGGTAAATCAGACAGAAAGTAAAAAAGAGTTTGAAAAGTACAAAAAAGGTAAATGTACATTCAGTATAATCTGATGGTTCACCAAAGAAACCAAAGTCTTTAAGTGGATGAATTCAATTGGTGTGTAGATGTTACAGGAACCGAATCGGATGTTTCCAAAAAAGGAAATAAGCTATTCGAATTATCTTAGTTGCAACGAACAAAGCTAATAGCAATTGCCATAGCTTAAGATACTGGTCCACTAGGAATGAATGAATGGAGTAAAATTAAACTCCTCATTTAGTCCTTTGGGATATAGTGTTTGAAACAAATAAATCCAACGGGATTCTGCTTTCAGTAATGAGATGTTTATGTCACCTTTCCTGTGGTTTTGAAAGTTCTTTTGGATTACCTGAAATACCACCCAAGGAATAGCCAAAGGTCAAGGGAGTACAGAAATCAAAATACACGAGAAATAACCAAGCCAATAATCGGGGAACCAGAGAGGAGAGGAGTCAGTAAGGAAAGCCAAGAGTCAAAATACCAGAAAACAGTCAAAAATCGCAAGAGCACTAGAGGGAACACACAAGAACCATACTAGGACGCTGAAGAAATGACAGAGGCGCCCTTTTATAGTGAGGTGTCTTTTACTTTAAAGCCACGCCCCCAAAATGTTCGGGAGTGTGGCCACGTTTGAATTTCCGCGGCAATATTCTGATGACGTCGGCGCGCATGCTCCGCGTCATAAGAAGAGGCGTGTTGCAGACAGTGCCGCCTCCCGGAAGCAGCAAGGGAGAACGCCACACTGCGCGGGTCCGGTGGGTAAAGGTAAGTTATCGTTACAATACCCACCCCTTGAAAACCGCCCCCAGGGCGGGGAGGACTTGGCTTGCGAGAACGACGCCTTTCAAATTAACGAACCAGACGAGGAGCATGTACATCAGAGGCATCTACCCATTAATGTTCCTCGGGACCATACCCTTTCCAATCTAAAAGATATTGGAGATGACCCCTAGAAATATGAAAGTCCAAAACAGATTTCACTTCATATTCGTTTTGGCATTCTACGAGTGTAGTAGGAGGTCTTGTGGGTATTCAAGTATAATGTTTACAAATTAAAGGTTTAAGGAGAGAAACATGAAAGGAATTGAGTATCTTCATAGTAGCCAGTAAATCCAGGCGATAACAGACCGGATTAATGCGTTTGAGTATTTTGAAAGGACCAATAAAACGTGGAGCGAACTTCATAGAGGGGACTTTTAATTTTATATTGCGAGAGCTCAACCATACTCTGTCCCCTGCCATAAAAGTTGGAGTGGCTCTTCGTTGTCTATCTGCTTTACACTTTTGTGTTTCAGCCTTTTGAATCAATATATGTTTAACCCCTAACACTTGGCACTCCCGTGGATGAAAAGGAACTCGGAAGAGTAATAGGGTCAAAACCATAATTGATATAAAAGGGACTGTGTTGCGTAGATTCGTGAACCTGGTTATTGTGGGCAAATTCAGCCCATGGAAGTAAATCTACCCAATCATCTTGTTGATCGGAAGTAAAGCAGCGAATGTATTGTTCGAGTGCTTGATTCATCCTTTCTGTAACCCCGTTAGATTGGGGATGGTACGAAGAAGATAGATTAAGATTGATACCTAATTGGCTACAAAATGCTCTCCAGAACCTGGAAACAAATTGTGGACCTCTGTCAGAAACTATATCCACAGTTATACCGTACAAATGAACCACTTCCCTTATAAACAAAGTGGCCAGTTCGGAGGAATAAGGTAATTTAATTAAAGGGACAAGATGGGTAATCTTCGAAAATCTGTCTATTATAGTCAGTATCACTCAGTGATTCTTGGAAGAGGGTAGGTCCACTACGAAATTCATGGCGATACTCGACCAGGGCTTATCGGGAATAGGCAATGGCATGAGGAGACCTAATGGACGACCCTTAGGAGATTTATTAGAGGAACAGATGTTACAGGCCAGAACAAATTCTCGAACATCTTTCTTGTATGAGGGCCACCAGAATTGCTTTTCAAGTAAAGATTCAGTCTTATGGATAACGGGATGACCGGCAAATTTGGAGTCGTGCACCAAGGACAAGACCTTTCTTCCATACGCCAAAGGTACGTATAATTTTCCCCGAGGTATAGTCAAAGAGATATGATCCTGGAATGTGGATAATTCCTCCATTAAACCAGAAGAGATCTTAGCATGAACTGTGGCTACAATGTCATTGGCTGGGATTATGGACAATGGGTTTCGGGGGAAGATAGATGTGTATGTTGTCGGGATAGGGCATCAGCTTTAGTATTCTTAGATCCAGGTCTATATGTCACAATGTAATTAAAGCGTGTTAAAAACAAAGACCAACGAATCTGCCTGTCAGACATTCTTTTAGCCTCCCCGAAATAGGAAAGGTTTTTATGGTCAGTAAGAATGGTGATCAGTACAGGTGACCCCTCTAATAGATGACGCCATTCCTTGAGAACTGAAATAATAGCTAACTGTTCCCTATCTCCTATATCATATCTTTTTTCCGTTTCAGTCAGTTTCTTTGAAAAAAACCCACAGGGATGTAGAGGTTGATCTCTGTGATAGTACAGCCAGTCTCCGATGCATCTACCTCTAACAGGAAGGGACGTGAAGGATCTATTTTTAACCTCTCAAAAGCATCCTTAGCTTCGAGACACCACTCCATATGATTCCTACTTTTTTTTGTCATGGCGGTAATAGGAGCGGTAATAGAGGAAAATCCCTTGATGAATTTCCTATAATAATTAGCAAATCCCAGGAAACGTTGGATGGCCTTAAGTCCAACGGGTAAGGGCCAGTTTAAGATTGCTTCCAGTTTTTTGGGTTCCATTTGAAAACCCGAACCTGAAATTCTATTAAAACCTAGGAAATTAAACTTTTCCATGTCAAACAGGCACTTTTCTAATTTACAATAGAGTTCGTTCTTCAATAATTTAGAAAGAACCAACCTGACGTGCCTATGGTGTTACTTAATACTCTTAGAGTATGTGGCAAACCATGCCACTAAGAGACTGACTTTTCTATGCGAATGAACGCTTGGATTATAATGGCCGTACGTTTGCTAAGGCAGGAATTATGAGAGACTCAGTTCACGAACTATCTACACTTCAGTTTATGCAAACAACAGTAAACTACCGAATGAGGGACCACCCCGGTGTGGTCGTGTGCCCCTTATTACCGAAGGCAACAATGTTGCAAAGGGTACTAATTGAGAGTTCGTGTGCGGCCGCCATTTTGCCTACCGAACACGTGGCGGTGGCCATCTTACGCACGAACAGCGGTACTTGGTCGTCGAACGCCTGGAACTCAAATCAGGCATTTGACTAACCAAGTACCGCTAAGACCTCCAGCACGCTTAAAAGTGCCGAATGAACCACCCGAACCTCCCAGCATTCGGTATGTGGAATCCCACGAACTAGACTTTCGGGACTTTTTATTCACGAAAAGAGACCGACCGCAGGGCCAGAATTCATGGAACTATTTTCGGCTACTGTGCCCGTGCGGTCGGTCAAATCTTTCTCCTGCAATAACTCCCGAACCCCTGGTCCAATCTGGGTGAATTTTGAGTATGTTGCTCACCCAGATCAGGGCTACCAGGGGACCTGGTACATCCACGAATTGTGGAAAACTGTGTACCTATTAATAAAGTTAACTGTTAATCAAAGGGGAGGAGATGTAGGGGAGGTAACCACTATGTGATTGGATACTGTAATAATTATGGAAGTTACCTCCCTTGCATGGGACAAATGCATAAAAGCAGAACTGTGAATAAAGACCTGAGTTGACTCCCAGACTATGTGTCGTCTAGTCCTTGGGGAGGGGGATTATGCTGTGTTCCTGTATTCTTGTATGCTGAAACGTTGTTCCCAGCAGAGAGCTCTTGGATTAACCCCTGCTACTCCGCTACATTTGGTGGCAAGCGACGGGATTCAAACCACACAGCAGACCGTTGTTCGGCAGATTGAGCAATTCGTGGAAATCCTTATTCATATGGAACTGAAGGTTGTGGGTATGTGAATATACCCGAACGGACAGTGAATGGGGACGGATTATACACGCTTGGGCTACACTAAAAGAACTATTGGAAGCAAGGGGAATTATTGCCAGCAATAAAGCTAAAGCCATCCTTATCGCTGAACTCATGGAGGGAGACAGAGCAGCTGCTGCAGCACCTCCTATGGAAATCACACAGACAGAGTTTGAGAAAGAACTCAAAAGCCGGCTGGCGTTTTTCCCAGGAACACCCCGCATAGAAACAGTGGAAAGAATAATGGCAGATGTCCATGAATATTTAATGGCAAAGCAGCAAGCAGACCAGAGGTCCAGAGAGGGGTCTCCAACCCCACCCCACATGGTACAAGGGAAGCCTAAAATTCCTTACCACGCTTTTAAAAATTATGTGGAAACAGAGGACATTGATGGATACTTACACTACTTCGAGAGACTATGCCAACTACATGATATCAGCGCAACTGACCAAGTACCCCTGCTGGTGGGCAAACTAGCGGGCCAGGCAGCCAAAGCCTACCGCACAATGCCAGACGAGGACAGCAGGGACTACCAGAAAGTGAAGCAGGCCATTCTAACTAGGTATGCCATAACCCCGGAGGCAGAGAGAGTCGAAAATCGGATAGAGACTCCCACATGGAGTGGGCACACCGCTTAATCAGGGCCGGCAAGGGATGGGTCCAAGCAGCACAAGCCACTACAGTAGAAGATATGCTGCAATTGCTTTTATTGAAAAAATTTTCAGGGGTTAACCCCGGATTTACAGAATTGGCTGAGAGATCGGAAACCGCGCACCTTAACTGACGCAGCCAGATTGGCAGACGAATACCAAGATGCCAGAAGGGCACAGCGGGCACAGTTACGGCCCACCCCAGGGGTTGCCACTCCACCTCCAGCTACTACCACTACCCCGACACTTCGTCCCGGTGGAGGGAGTTACCAACCCTCACCCAGATATAACAACAACAGGTCCTTTATTCGTTGCCACACATGCAACCAACAGGGCCACATGCATCGAGATTGTCCTAGGAATAAGAACCGATCCACCCAGAATAGCCCGACCAATTTCTCTGGTAACCGAGCAGCCGTACACTGCTACCAGAGTGAGCCACGACAACCACCCTTCTCGACCGGATCCACTCTGGGCACCCTACACGAAGTCAACCCGGTACAGGCGGCTTCTGACAACCGACAAGGGCACCGACAAGGGGTACATATAGAGGGAAAATGCCTCCAGGGTCTGCGCGACTCTGGGGCCACCATAACTTTGGTTCGTAACCACTTGGTCCCAAAGAACCAGCTCACTGGAGAATACGTGGCAGTACGGGTGGCAGGGGGAGCAATTTACAAAATTCCCACTGCCAGGGTACATTTGGATTGGGGAGCGGGGTCAGGGGACGTGGGCCTCATGCAAGATTTACCGTCCGATGTTATCTTGGGTAATGACTTGGGGGAGCTGACCTCAGCTTTTGTTCCTCAACACCCAGCACAGGAAGCACTACCAGTTGTTACCCGGCAGCAGGCTCGCACCACCGTATCCTCCGAACACTCTGAGGCTCAGGTAAGCAACAGTCACACATCCCCTTTCGTCCCGTGGGCCCCCCCCTTAGAATTTGGTACTGAGGTAGCCACCGACCCATCATTGCAAGTATACCGAGATAGGGTAGCACAGAATCAGGCGGGGTTGGAGGGGGAGAGATATGCTTGGGAGAAAGGATTGCTGTATAGGTATGCAGAGAAGGTGGTAGCAGGATCAGTACCCATGACCATCAATCAATTAGTCGTTCATAAAAAGTATAGGCAGGAGCTATTACGTATTGCCCACGATATTCCTCTGTCACGGCATCTAGGCGTCAGTAGGACTAAACATCGTTTGACCCAAAACTTCTTTTGGCCAGGGGTCTCCAAAGATATCCGTCAGTATTGCCAAACTTGTGATACGTGTCAGAGAGTAGGGAAGAGAGGGGACAGGTACAAGGCAAAAATGCATTCCCTTCCCATAATTGACGAGCCATTCAGTAGGGTGGCGGTAGATATAATCGGACCCCTAGCAAAACCCAGCCCTTCCGGGAAAAAGTACATTTTAACGGTGGTAGACTTCGCTACTAGATACCCCGAGGCAGTAGCCCTAACTAATATACACGCTGAGACCATAGTGGACGCCCTGATCCGAATATTCTCCCGAATGGGGTTTCCCAAGGAGATTAATCTCGGATCGGGGTACCCAATTCGCAGCCGAAGTTACCCACCAGCTGTGGAGAGCATGTGGGGTGAAACCCATCGTGAATTCAGCTTACCACCCCCAGTCCAATGGGCTCTATGAACGTTTTAACGGAACCCTGAAACAGATGCTCCGTACGTTCATGGATACTCAGAAGGACTGGGAGCGGTTTCTTCCCCATCTACTCTTCGCATACAGGGAGGTACCTCAGAAATCCACAGGGTTCTCCCCGTTCTAATTACTGTTCGGAAGGAGAGTACAGGGCCCTTTGGACCTCATTAGGGAACACTGGGAGGGAACAGTCACCAGTAATGGTACCCCTAACGTTCCATATGTGTTAGAGTTCAGGGAACGCTTGGAGACGCTAATACAGACGGTACGATCCAATCTCCAGGCAGCCCAACAACGACAGCGCAGGTGGTACGATATGGGGGCCAGGGACCGCAGTTTTCAAGTGGGACAAAAGGTGTTAATATTGAAGCCCGTCCAGAATGACAAACTGCAGGCCTCTTGGCAGGCTCCCTATAAGGTGGTGGAACAAGTGTGTGACACCACCTATATAATTGGCCCATGTACTGGAGCAGGCGGTAAGCGCATGCTCCATGTCAATATGCTGAAACCATATCACGAACGGGCCGAAGAAGTAAATGCCATCTGTGCCTCGGCCGCTGAGGACCCTGACAATTTACCTCTACCGGACCTACTAGCGAAAGGGGGGCAAGAAGCAGAATTAGGGGAAGTACAGCTGGGAGATAGGCTGAGTCCTAGAGAGCGGGCTCAGAGTTAATTAAGGAGAAAGGAGATACCTTTTCCAATCTACCAGGATATACCCCGCTAGCCACCCCCAGGGCAACAACCTCTTCGTCAAACCCCCTACCGCATACCAGAGCCCATAAGGGAACATATGCGGAAGGAGATTGACGAAATGCTGCAGCTAGGAGTGATAGAGCACTCGGATAGCCCATGGGCATCTCCGGTAGTACTAGTGCCGAAGCGGGACGGAACCACCCGCTTCTGCATAGACTACCAGAAGCTTAATGATAAGGCTATCTCAGATGCCTACCCTATGCCCCGAATCGACGAGCTCCTAGATAAAATGGCCAGGGGCCAGTACCTCACAACCATAGACTTGTGCAAGGGGTGCTGGCAGATACCACTAGCCGAGGATGCCATCCCGAAGTCCGCATTCGTCACCCCGTTTGGGCTATACCAATTTAAAGTAATGCCCTTCGGGATGAAGAATGCTCCGGCTACCTTTCAGAGGATGGTGGATCGGCTACTGGATGGATCCCAGGAGTATGCTTGCGCATACTTAGACGATATAGCGATATTTAGCAACTCCTGGGCCGAGCATTTAACCCATATAGGAGTCATCCTCGATCGCATCAGGGAGGCAGGCCTAACTTTGAAACACAGCAAATGCCATGTAGGGATGGCCGAAGTACAATACTTTGGGCACCGGGTAGGGAGTGGGCAGCAAAAACCTGAACCCGCCAAGATAGAGGCCGTAGCAAAGTGGCCGACCCCCGCACTAAAACCCAAGTCCTAGCTTTTCTAGGGACCGCCGCATATTACCGGAAATTTGTGCCCAATTATAGTGCCATAACCAAGCCCCTCACAGACCTTACCAAGAAAAACCTGCCCAAGATAGTTACCTGGAGCCCAGAGTGTGAACAGGCATTCCAAGAACTGAAAACTGCCCTTATACATGCACCTGTACTTGCCGCTCCCGATCCAACTAAACGCTTTCTCGTTCATACAGACACTTCTATGTTTGGATTGGGAGCAGTGCTGAGCCAGGTTGGGGCCGATGGCGGCAAACACCCGGTCGCTTACTTGAGCTGAAAACTATTACCCAGAGAAGTAAGCTATGCCGCCATCGAGAAAGAATGCCTGGCCTTGGTGTGGGCCCTCAAGAAGCTGCAGCCCTATTTATACGGACAACAATTTGCCTTGCTCACAGATCACAACCCGTTGGTGTGGCTAAACCGGGTGTCAGGGGACAACGCTAGACTGTTACGCTGGAGCTTGGCGCTACAGCCCTTTGATTTCACCATCCAGTATCGCCCGGGGAAGCAAAATGGTAACGCCGACGGGTTGTCACGACAGACCGAGTTGGAAAAATGATCTGTGAGCACTCCTCCGGACATCCCCAAGCCGATCCGTTAGGATCAGACTGTGTATGCTGGCTTGGTTCTGGGGGAGCATTGTGGCAAACCATGCCACTAAGAGACTGACTTTTCTATGCGAATGAACGCTTGGATTATAATGGCCGTACGTTTGCTAAGGCAGGAATTATCAGAGACTCGGTTCACAAACTATCTACACTGCAGTTTATGCGAACAACAGTAAACTACCGAATGAGGGACCACCCCGGTGTGGTCGCGTGCCCCTTATTACCGAAGGCAACAATGTTGCAAAGGGTGCTAACTGAGAGTTCGTGTGCGGCCGCCATTTCGCCTACCGAACACGTGGCGGCGGCCATCTTACACACGAACAGCGGTACTTGGTCGTCGAACGCCTGGAACTCAAATCGTGCATTCGACTAACCAAGTACCGCTAAGACCTCCAGCACGCCTAAAAGTACCGAATGAACCACCCGAGCCTCCCAGCATTCGGTATGTGGAATCCCACAAACTAGGGGATTCATCCGAATGATAAGTGAAGCCTGGATGCCATAGACTTTCGGGACTTTTTATTCACGAAAAGAGAACCATTTTCAGCTACTGTGCCCATGCGGTCAGTCAAATCTTTCTCCTGCAATAACTCCCGAACCCCTGGTCAGATCTGGGTGAATTTTGAGTATGTTGCTCACCCAGATCAGGGCTATCAGGGGACCCCTCATTCAAAGGTGTACCCCCTGTATTTAGGGTACATCCACGAATTGGGGAAAACTGTGTACCTATTAATAAAGTTAACTGTTAATCTAAGGGGAGGAGATGTAGGGGAGGTAACCACTATGTGATTGGATACTGTAATAATTATGGAAGTTACCTCCCTTGCATGGGACAAATGCATAAAAGCAGAACTGTGAATAAAGACCTGAGTTGACTCCCAGACTATGTGTCGTCTAGTCCTTGGGGAGGGGGATTATGCTGTGTTCCTGTATTCTTGTATGCTGAAACGTTGTTCCGAGCGGAGAGCTCTTGGATTAACCCCTGCTACTCCGCTACAGAGTAGATTAGTATATCATCTAAATAAACAATGACAAACATTTGTAGATAATCTCTTAATACATTGTTTATAAAGTCTTGGAAGACTGCAGGGGCGTTTCATAAGCTGAAGGGCATAACCCTGTATTGGTAGTGACCATAGCGAGTATTGAAAGCAGTCTTCCACTCATGTCCTTTCTTGATTCTAATTAAATTGTACGCTCCCCGTAAATCCAACTTAGTGAATATGGTTGCTCCCTTCAACCTGTCGAAAAGCTCAGTTATTAGAGGTAGAGGATAAGCATTTCGTATGGTTATTTAGTTTAAAAAGATGACAAAGAAAAAAACGTCCCGGGCCGGGGAGGAAAACTTAGTAATAAAACCCTTTCTTAAGTTCTCTGTGATGTACTCTTCTAGTACTTTATTTTCAGCCACCCACGGTACCCCTAGGGGGCATAGTGCCAGGTAACAAGTCAATAGTGCAGTCGTATGAACGATAGGGTGGTAATTTTTCTGTTTTCCCTTGTTTCAAAGACTGCCTTGAGATCCGAATATTGTTTGGGTATTTGGGTGGTTAAGGGTTCCATAGTAGGAACATTAAGTAGACCTACAGGCTTGACCTGAATAATACACAGTTTAAAACAAAAATCACCCCATTTTTCAATCTCTTTTCTCTCCCAGTCTATTAAAGGATTGTGCTTGGTGAGCCAAGGAAAACCAAGGATTACAGGAAAGGTGGGAGAAGTTATTTGTTGTAGAGTTATAATTTCCTGATGCAAGGAACCTACAGTCAAGACTATGGGATTAGTTTCTTGAGTAATAAAAGGGATTGACAGTGGTCTACCATCTATGGCCTCAACGGCCAAGGGTGTTGATCTTTCTCGAAATGGGAGATCATGATGCTGACCGAATTTGTGATCAACAAAATTTTCGGCTGCCCCAGAATCTATTAACGCAATGGTTGGTACTTTCTTTTCCTCCCATTCGATAACTACTGGTAGAAGAAACCTGAGATCTTTTTTGTCATTGAAGGAGGACATACACATTACACCCAAGGCCTGTCCTCCTAGTGCTGGAGTTTTCCGGCCTGCTTGGACAGGTTAAGCGGGAATCCCCTTTCTTCACACAATACATACAAAGTCCCTCCCTTCGTCTATATAGTTTCTCGGTCTCAGACAACCGCGTGGTTCCCAATTGCATTTGTTCTGTGGGAGCGACGGCGGTTGCCTCAGATGAAGGGAAGGTCAAGGCCAGATGTTCCGGCACACGTCTAGGTCTATCCCTGGTGTTTTGCCTATGCCGGAGACGTTCATCAATATGAGCTAAGTAAGTGATTAATTCTTCTAACACATTAGGTAGATCTCTGGTAGCCACTTCATCTAAAAGCTTATCAGAAAGTCCATTCATGAACACATGCACAAAAGCCTGCTCATTCCATCTAACCTTGGCCGCATGAGTGCGGAATTCTAGGGCATAGTCGACCAAAGAACGAGACCCCTGTCTCATTCGTAATAGGGTTTTGGCAGCATTAGTTTGTCTCCCAGGGGGATCAAAATGTCTCCTAAAGGCCGCGACGAACTCTGCATAGTGGAAAACTATGGGATTGTCGTTCTCCCACAAAGGATTAGCCCAAACTAATGCTCTATCAACTAACAAGGTTATTATGTAACCAATCTTCGATCTATCGGTTGGATAAGCTCTAGGATGAAGCTCAAAATTAATGCTGACCTGGTTTAGGAAACCACAGCATCCTTTGGGATCACCCACATAACGAAGAGGGGATGTAGCATGGTTGGAAGCACCCCGTGCAACCATTTCCATATGAGGTTCCTGGGGTCTATGACCAGATATATGCTCCTCCGGCTGGAGATGGGCAGTATGGGCTAACAAGGTTTGAACAGCGACAGCGAACTGGTCCATGCGATGGTCTAGCTCCTCAAACCGGTTATCAGGAACCGGCCCATGAGGGTTAACACCTGCCGGGTCCATGGCCCTAGTGTAATGTCACGACAGTGACCCCTTCACGCAGAGAGTAACCCAGAAAGAGACTTATACCGGACCTTAGGGTGGCCGGGCTCAACGTCAAAGAGTAGTCAAAGGAATAGCCAAAGGTCGAGGGAGTACAGAGATCGGAATACACGAGAAATAACCAAGCCAGTAATCGGGGAACCTGAGAGGAGAGGAGTCAGTAAGGAAAGCCAAGAGTCAAAATACCAGAAAACAGTAAAAAATCGCAAGAGCACTAGAGGGAACACACAAGAACCACACTAGGGCGCCTTTTTATAGTGAGGTGTATTTTACTTTAAAGCCACGCCCCCAAAAGGTTCGGGAGCGTGGCCACGTTTGAATTTCCGCTGCAATATTCTGATGACACCGCGTCATAAGAAGAGGTGTGTTGCGAGCGGCCCACGTCAGACAGACTGTGCGTTCTCCCGGAAACAGCAAGGGAGAACGCCGCAGTGCGTGGGTCTGGTGGGTAAAGGTAAGGTATCATTACAGGAGCTACCAAAAATGGTGTCCGGTCCAGGTCATGGCTAGCTCCGCCCCTACAAAACTATTTTGAATGCTGTCAGGTCCCATGCCTTTGCGCCACTCTCGGCGACCTTGTGTACCTCATCACAGCGAGTGTAATCTGATCCTTATCTCCAGACTGGCAGTGTGTCTGACGCTGCACACTCCAGAGCAGCTTCCTTATATGTGTGCTGCACGCGGTCATGTGACCCAGTTCACAGTGATGACCTCAGAGACCACAAGGGAGGGAAGAAATTTCTCCCATGTGTTGTGGTTAACACTAACTGGAGATTGCCAATCAGACACACCCTGTGTGTATATAAGCTAACCTCTCCCTTGCCTCAGTGCCCTATTGTGGTCTTTGGTTTACCATTAAGCGTTGCACCTGTTATTTGGATTTCCTGGTTACTGATATTTGGCTTTGTCTCTCGTTATTCCATCTCTCTGTTTCCGTTGACCTCGGCTTGTGTTTTGACTATATCTTTTTGCATAACCCGAACATTCTAAGGATCGGTATTGCAATTCTCTCTACTCTGTCCTGCCTGCGTGTTAGGGTTCCCTAGTGAACGTTACAATTACACTCCCAACATACAGGAAGGGATGGGACAGAGACCTAGATAGCGAGTTCTCAGATATGGAATGGACGAGTGTCATGGAACAATCTTGGCCTCCCACTAAATGTACTAATTATCTGGAACTTACTAAGAAAATAATATTGCGATGGTACTTTGACAAACTATCCTCATTGTGTTGACTTTGCCATATCTTATCACTCAAAAGGACTATATTCAATGCTCCTGGTTCCCTGTACTGTCTCCTCCCAACGAACTGCCCTGGAGCGCCTTCTCCGCAACTGAAGTCTGGAAAGCCGCAAAGACTGTAGCGGGAATTATGTGCAACTCATCTGGAACTCCGGTCCGGTCACGCTTAGCTCTAATTCCAGCCAAATTTCCACCCCAGTTTTCCCCTACTTCTACATCAGTAGGGAACAATCACTCCCTGGGAGCCAGGAGGAGTGCCCCTTGTCACGCCAAGAGTGGATATTCATTGTTGCACAATAAAATATTACCATTTAATGTAATTTATGTAGTGCATATATGAATTGGCCTCTTGGTTGCAAGGTCAGATGGCAGAAGTAATAATGTAAATGGTATAGGAATTAATCAAAGGCTCTGCAGAATGTCAGATTCTACACTTGAGATGCCTGGATATCTAGTTCCAATGTAAACTAGCTGACTTCAGCCATACGGCCTGTACCTCTTAATTGATGAGTTGAGTTCTTTGATATGTTAATGATCACTAGCTTTCAAGAAAAAAAAGAAAAACAATCCTTGTGCTCCAGTACTTGCCCACTTAATAATAATTGAGCCTCATTTTTGTTATATTTGGAATGGGACGGGTACAGTCTTCTAATCAAGCCTAGACATGATTTGCGTAACTTACCCAGAAAGGAAGGGATGGTGATGTCCACTATATTTTGTGACATGTAAGGATTGTGACATATCTATGGACTGGAAAAATTTTAACAAATTCATAGATGCAACTCTTATTTGTGTGGCAAGTACATAAGAGAAGATAGAACCAAATTTGTAGTGATGTTGGTCTGGAACACAAGAGGCTGGTAACTTATTGTTTCTACAGGTCTGCCTTAACTTGGTAATCCACAGGGTATATATCTAATGATTCTGAAATGTGTTAGGACTTGCTTGGGGTCAACATCTGATGCTGAGTGAGTCACCATCTTCCTTGCCAGAGACCTCCTGGGCAGAAGTTTTATTTTGAAAACCTGAATAAGTGATTAAGACTTCTGTTATTTTATCCTTTTTGTTTTTATCTGTTGTTGGTGTAAATAATATGTTTATCATCTATTTTTTGTATGCACTGTGACTATTTTTTGCTCATAATAAATATTCCTTTATTAAGTTCTGCCTTTGTCTGGTTAAGAATCACTTTACCTGAAAAGACTAAATAGTGTTTTGCAATTGCATAGTTGTTGTGCTAAGTTGTATTTGGTGGGTTTTTATTATTCAGTTACCTGGGGAACCAAGGCACCACATTTATAAATGTCTTGATGGTGGCAGCGTTAAAATAGTAATATTTATATTATTATGGTTAAGTGTGGGTGGTGTTAAGGTTTTTTAATCTTTATTTCCGGTCTAGTGCAGACAAATAGTGAACTTTAACCCTTTCACCACCACCACCACCACAACTACGTCACGCACACTCTTGAAGTAGGGTGCTTTCGTGACACCCCTTACTTTATCCACTGCAGTTCCTGACATTTGATTGGCCGAAGCACTAATTGTTGTGGAACACTTTTTTGGCATGGACCACGTGTGTGGCTGGTCAAAACTTTACCCTGGTTGCGTTTTGTCACATCTTGGATCCGGGCGCTTTTTTGGCAACATGGGTGCTTGAATCAGAGCTATCCGGTGATGCATAATTTGTGGGGGGCTCTTGTATGTTCTTATGATGTTTTGGGGGTGTTTTTGTATTGTGCTGTCTGTATCCGGGAGATAATTAGTTTAGCCAGCAGCAACTCAATCTTCTCCCAGAATTAGAGGCACAATGGTGGGATCCAGTGGCGTACACACAACCCATGGGGCCCCAGTGCGAAAACTGATCCGCGGGTCCCGCCCCCATGCGCTTACTCTGCGTGGGCCAGGGCCGCAACACATGGCAGCGGGCACCTGTTCGCAGGGGATCACAGGGCTGCGACCCCTGCGACTGCGGTATGTATGCCAGTGCATGCAGATACACATACACTTAAAGGACCACTACAGACACCCAGATCACATCAGCTCAATTAAGTGGTCTGGGTGTCAGGTCCCTCTAGTTTTAACCCTGCAGCTGAAAGCATAGCAGTTTCAGAGAAACTGCTATGTTTCACTGAGGGTTAATCCAGCCTCTAGTGGCTGTCTCATTGAACGTCCATAGGAAAGCATTGAGTAATGCTTTCCTATGGGCGGTTTGAATGTGTGCCCTGGGCCCCTCAGGAGAAGAGGCTGGCCACAGTGGGTACATACTGGTATGTACGCCACTGGCGGGATCACTGTATTGTCAATAGGGGGTCTGTGTATAAGTGAGCGTGTTGAACCTAATAAAACCAGATCTACTCCCAGCATTAAGCCTCGACTAATATGTTGGGGAAAGCTATACCAGCTATAATCACTACTTCGTCTGGAAGGAGCTATAATACTACAGGAAAGGGAATCCATAGCGGTGATACTACGGTGGTCCGCCACAGGTACATGAACCCCTTTAGACTTTTGCGTATCTTCCCAGGCCCATCTTCCATCTGTTGGAGGAAACCTAGCTAAACAGGAACTACGGCTCGTATTAGGTGGGACTGTCCAGTTTTGACCCTTGCATGCAGATAGATCTTCAGTTGGGCTGTAAACATGAACTTCCATTCACACTGGAGGTAGCACTTTTAGGCTTATACCTTGACACTAGGATTAGGAGCAGGGAGATGAGCACATGGGAATGTAATTGAGAGTTGATAAAAATCCACCAGTCTGTCATACAACAATATGGGTAAATTCTTTTTTTTTTCTCTTTAGTATTCCTTTTAAAGGACCACTCTAGGCAGCCAGACCACTTCAGCTTAATGAAGTGGTCTGGGTGCCAGGTCCAGCTAGGGTTAACCCATTTTTTTTATAAACATAGCAGTTTCAAAGAAACTGCTATGTTTATAAATGGGTTAAGCCGTACCCCAAATCCTCTAGTGGCTGTCTCATTGACAGCCGCTAGAGGCGCCTGCGTGAATCTCACTGTGAAAATCACAGTGAGAGCACGCAAGCGTCCATAGGAAAGCATTTCCTATGCGACCGGCTGAATGCGCGCGCAGCTCAAGTATGTTTTCCTGGCACTATAGTGGTCCTTTAATGTTTTGGTTTGGATAAAAAAAAAAAAGTACAATTTTTTTATGTAGTTGAAAATATGCACACTATATATATAAACATATGCATGTGGAGAAGGCAATTAATAATCCTTCCTACCAGAAAAGATACTAAACTGTGCATCTGGCAATGTGTTGCAGCTAATTCATTCTAACCAGCATGTATGCTATGAACTGTATGAAATGTAAATATGAAACCTTGGAGATTGTATACGCTTATCATAGAGTACATGTGTGTATTACTGAAAACAATAAATAAAATGTTAAAAAACTGATGGATAATGTAGCCAGATCTATTTTGTGGAGTAAACGATAATTTTTTGAAAAACCAATAAGATGAATTCCTTACCGATTAATAGCCTTAAACCCAGATCTAAGCGCTATCACGACTATAAAGAGTTAGTCTGGGGATATACTCACATCTCCAACTTCAGCACGGAATGATTTCACTTCCTTTTATAGTAATCTTTATAATTATACTCCAGAAAATTATTTCCAAAACATCTCATATACAGAGGACCTACTTCAGCTGAGTATGTGCTTTCCTCATTGGGCACAGATGGTTATTGTGGTACATATTATAACACCTTCCAGGAAACTCTCATTCAACACCTAACCAAACATTTTATGCCCTTAGAGGGAAGGAACACTTGTCACGAGAGATCAAAATGGCAGATATAGTGCTTCTGCCAATGGAGGGACGGGACCCCATAAAAGTTGAGAACTATAGACCCATTTCCCTAATGAATACTGATGCCAAAATTCTAGTACATGCTTTGGTGGCTAGACTTAAACCCCTGCTCTAGAGACTTAATCATTATGCCGGGTTCATTCATGAAAGGCAACTGATTGAAATAACTTGGAAAACAGAGGATCTTTTATGGGTGGTAAGGGACAATCAGATACCTGCCCTAGTCCTATCACGTGATGCAGAGAAGGCTTTTGATAGGGTCAAGTGGACTTATTTGTTTGGCTTCCTGCAGCATTGAAGCTTCCCTCCATCATTTGTCAGCTCAGTTTTTGCTCTATATTCCGACCTCCAAGTCCAGTTAGTGATGCTGGACATGGTTTGTAAACCATTTGCACTGTATAATGGTAATAGACAGGGTTGCCCCCTCTCTCCCCTCCCATTTGTAATATCCCTAGAACCTCTGTTGCACCAGATTAGACATATTGACTATAAGTGGGATTCGGGTGGGGCCAAACACTTATAAATTGTCGGTCTATGCCAATGATGTACTGCTCACACTATCTGACCCAATCACCTCACTACCTCCCATGTGTTACACTATCACAACAATTGGAGATTTGGCGGGATGCAAAAATAATTTTGATAAATCTAGAACATATTGACTGCCAACAACCATAACATACAAACCTCCTACGGCCTATCAATGCAGCGAGAGATGCTCAAATAGTAATAGGGATTAACCTTATCTCGGACCCAACAGCCCTATTTAAAGCTTATTATATCCCTTCAATCAAGACACTTTAGGATAATATGGACACAGAGGGGGAGGTTTGGTATTCCATGTATGTATTGCTATGTAGCTCAACCATCCCAGGTTGTATTATATCAGGCTCTCCCTGGATTGCAGAGGTGGGTGGATATGGAATCTTCCCTAAAGGGGTCGGACATCTCACAGTTTTATTGTGGCTGGGAAGGTCTCAGACAGCAATACTGATGACACAGCGCCCTGCCATCCTGAATTCCATCTGCATATGGGATAGGATTAGAGTCCAGTTTGCCCTCTCAAAGGTAACATCTCCTATAACCCTCTATCTCTGAAACCAGGACTTCCCCCTGGGATGAGTGCAAGGGATTTTAGAAACTTGGAGTAAGTGAGGATTCAGAGATTTCACCATCTATGGAAGGGCGATACACTGTTATATTTTGCGTATCTTTCTAGGTTGGTCCATATGACCCCAAGGGACTTCTTTCAATTTATATGTCTAAGACTCTACTGTAGAAAAGAGTTTAAGATGGCAGTTAAAAAGCAACTCACTATGTTCAAAAACTTCTTCAAGTCGGATGCCAATCAAAAGGAACTACTATCCACCATTATTTACATCTACATATGCTCACACTATCGAGTTTGGGGGGGAACTTGCGTATATCAGACAGTGGGAGGCTGATGTGATAAAGGAGTTGAAAGAAGAGATGTGGGAGGCCATATGGGAAACAGCAGCTTCTGTTTCTATATCCATATCTCTCCAGGAATAAATTCATAAAATTCTATTGCAATGGTATACGACCCTTGACAAGTTACTTCAAAATTTTTAAAAACCCCTAGTGATTTTTGTAGGAGAGGATGTGGACATAGGGGTACCTACTGCATATGTTGTGCACATATGTTTTGCACCAAACAAGGAAAGATCCTTGGTCGTATCTCCTCTCTTTACATAAAAATTACTCTGGCAGCCAGATGTTCTTTGTCATCCAATTGGCTTAGGCAGTATCTACCCTCAATCAGGTCAGAGCCCTAATATAATATAACAGGCTTTTGGATCAGTTCATGGCTACAGTCAGGGGTACCTACCGTAAGTAGGTTCGTGTGGGATTCATTTGTGAACCTCTCATGAAGACATGATTGCAGAGTATGTCACTGGACATACCCCATTTGCAATACTATGGGTTGTCTACTATTGCAAATAGTATGCCATCATGGGGGTAATTTTCATTCCTGGGCTACCAAACGGTCTCAAAGGCAACGTAACCAATCTGGCAAATTTCAATGTGAAAAAACTGAAAGCCAAGCCTTATATATTTAAATATTAGTGTTTCAAAACAGTAAAACGTATCACAACAATTATATCATCCCTGTAAGTGCCATTTGTGTGTGAAAAATGCAAAAAATTTCACTTTCACTGACGACATCATCATTGTAATACATTTTACTGTTTTGAAGCAATAATATTTGTGTTCAGCAAAGACTTCAGAGTAAAACAGTACCCCCATGTAGAGGTTTTTTGGTGTCTTGGAAAGTTACAGGGTTAATTATAGTGCTAGCAAATTAAATTCCCAGGATTTTCCGCCTGGGTTGTCAGGCAGGTCCCGCAAATTGTAATTAATAAAATGACGTAATTATGTAAAATTATTACATAAATATATACGTAGAATTATTATATATATATATATATACGTGTGTATATATATATATGTATATATATGTATATAACTTTTTAAAATTATTTTTATTTATGTATAGATATATATATATATATTGATATATACGTATATACTTATGTATATAGATATATTTGTGCTCGGAATCTCTATTATGTAATTGGAATGTAGAGGAGGAGCAAAGTTGGTTGAGGAGTGCCGAAATCAACTTACGAGTAGGCCTGTAAAAAAGAGGGCCCACAAAGAGAAATGTGTAAAGGAGGGTGAAGGTGGGTGGGGTCAAAACAGCTTGAACGGCAAAGGTAAGTAGGGGGGTAGCGTTTATATAGGGTCATAACTCCTCCCACAAATTCAGGCCTTCCAACTTGTGCTCGGAATCTCTATTATGTTAATGGAATGTAGAGGAGGAGCAAAGTTGGTTGAGGTGTGCTGAAACCAACGTACGAGTAGGCCTGTAAAAAAGAGGGCAAAAAGGAATTCAAAGTTAACACACTTTATTGCAAGTTTAAACTGTGAGATTTCTGAAAGCCTGCCTGAGCTCCCTTTCTGGTTGAGGGATGTAGGAGTTGTATATTTAGGATTTCCAGCGTCCCAGCCTCTTAATGATGTGTACCGGGGTGTTAGTGCTAGAGGCTGATGATGCTGCGCTGATGCGAAATGAGTGACCAGAGAAGGAAGCTGGGTTGTAGCCTAACCTAGACAATAGAATTCTGATGTGTGACATAAATTTAGCTGTGGTGAGTGGGTGACCTTGGAGTAGAAGTAGTGGAGTATCTGGTGAGTGCGTGAGGTGAGAAACCAGGAGCATATCCAGAACATGTACAGGGCACCACAAATTCTCGGTAGGGAAGAGGGGAATGATAGTGGGGTAGGCAGAGTGATTGGTCTTGGTAGAAGGCAAAGAGAGTACAAAATGGTCGTCTACTCTCTTTAAGTGAGACAGTTTGAGGCATTGTACTGTGTCTCCTTGACGTACCACGGTGAACTCTCTAGGTCTGAGGAACCCATAGAAAGCTAAAAAAAAATGGGAGATTTCATGACTATATTGGTATTTTTTGGGTCAAACGGGGATTTGTCCAATAAGTCGCTTAGGAGACGGAATATTGGAGGTCTATTGGTAGGTTAGTCGTGTTAGGGGGGACTGTGACCTTAAAAATACCTTTGAGGATTTTCTTAATGGGGTAGGAAGGCAGAAAAGGAGCGTGGTTAGAGAAGTTAGTGAGGATGCGGTGTTGTACTCCGGTGAGGTAGAGTTTGATGGTATTATGAGAAAGTTTAATGTGTAAATGGCAAAAGGAGGCAAAAGCCACCATGGTTTTGATGGAAAGGTCACCTTGTAAGCAAAACTCGACTGTGAATTTGTTAAATATAGTCAGTGCTCTACCGTAAGAGATAGTGGTGTTGGGAGACAGTGCGTGGTGCGTGAGTGTTTGTACGTGGAGTAATATTTAGTTTAAATCAGGGTTAGCCGTAGGAACGATGGCGTCCTGGCTGATTGAAGGTGTGTCGGAGGGGGAGCCCGGCCGGAGACCTGCAATTTAAGAGCATAAAAAGAGTGTTAGCAGCTGAGTAGAGGAAGTGTAGAGAATGAGGTGTAAGATATCTATCTTGTTTAAGCATGTATCCCTACATGCTGGAATAGTAGAATATAGGCAAATTATAACAAAAAATATACATTTGGAATGACTGAAACTATTCCATGATCTGGAGGAACAAGAAAAAGGATACCAAATGTCAAATCAAACTTTATTGCTTGGAGTGCAAGTAAGCGGCCCACCGAGATGAGTAAGGTTGCGAAAGGAAAGGGCCATTATCTGGACATGGTGGCATTGTATAATTTTTAATGTGTGCTGAACCAGCTTATTTGTTAGGTGTCAGACGGGTCAGACTTGGTGTAGGCTCTGAAGCATATGGAGCAGATGTGCAACAACCTGCATGCGCTGTAGCTGCACATTTGCCTGTGTTAAAGTTATTGCACACCTGCGCCTTGCCCAAGAAGGTGATGGGTCTGCCCAGCTTGTCTCTCTGGACACCTTCCTGTCTAGGGAGTGGGGTGAGGGAGTGGTGGAGTGAAAGAGTGGAAGTGGAAGGGTCTGCATCCCCAGGGCATAGATCGGTGGAGTGTGAAGTAGAACCACAAGAGGCACAAGATGGGGGCCTCAGACCAGCAAAATGACGGCAGAATAACTCAGTATCTATCTGACACCAATCGATTCTAATATTGAATTGTGTCAGATGAGTAGCTGCCTTGGCCGAAACTGATTTGTGGTCATCGTAAAATGAGGACCCTCCATACTTGATGTCCAAATCAACCACCTTGTGCATATATAAATCAAGCTCTTCTCTCCTATGTGGGTACACCATGCAGATAACGTCGCGATAAGTGCCGAACGCGATAACAAACTGTGGGATGGTGAGTTTTTTATTCAAACGTGGGTCTCTGGCTCTTAAGACAACCGAAATGTCCCCGTAGTTATAAGCTCTATTTTCTAAGACGTCTTGGGAGGGACATTAAATTGACGTCTTTTCCATCAAGAATATCTTTCTTGATGGAAGCCGGAACAGAGTGGGCTGGTGAGGTGTGGGTAGTGGGAGTGGTAGTGGCTGGTGGGGGAGGGGAAATGAGGGGTATGGCAGTCAGAACGGTCAAAGTTACCGGTGTAGGGACTGCTGGGCTCTTAAGTCACCTGGAGTGGCTATGGCTGATTCCACCTTCAGCAACCTGCTGTTAATGGATTGCAGATTGGCCAGTATAGCCGTCAGAGTTTCCTGGGTGGAATCAGAGAAGCCAACTGAAGACCCTTGTGAACTCGTGCCAGGCCTTGGTTCGTTGGCCTGAGTCGTCAGCAGTTTATAAAGTTCTGCTTTTCTGGCGGTGGCTGGAAAGGGGATTCCCCTGAGCCTAAGTTCAGCCGATATTTTTGGAATTGTCCAATATCTTAGGGATCTGGGAGTAGAAGGAGTGAGGGATTCCACCGGAGACCCAGGCCTGGCTGGCGTGCTGGGTATATCGTCTGATGGGGGATCGATGATTGGTTCTTGAGACATCCTGAAAGGAATAATGATATGGATAAGTAGTGTATAGTGGAGGTGGGATGAGACCTAGGGAGAACTGGCCTGCTAGCTAATGCCGAAGTGAAGAATTAAAATTAGAACCAAGTGACAGGTGAGGCCCTGCTATTGCCAAGCGGCGGTGAGAGGCTCTACCTATGATTTGGACCAAGAGGGTTTTTTGGCCACCAGAAGGGGGTGGCAGGATGTCGGCCTCTCGGTGACTGTAAGAGATTCAAAAACGTGTGGCCGTGACATGGGAAACCCTAACTGTAGCCCTAAAGAAAAGCGAGCGAGGTGGCTAGCTATGATTTGGTCGTGGGGCTGAACCTCCGTGTATGAGGTAGGGGTGTAGACCTCGCGGACCGCAGGATTATTGGGGGAAGTTAGGGCCAGCACCTGACCCTGAAAGCCAGTTCTCTACCCTGACGGGGGCTTGTCTCTTGAAGGAAGTATTTAACGTATGTAGATACTGACCTGAGTGTTTGTTCTGTATATTTGGAAATTGCTCAGGGTGACTTCAATATATATGTCTATATATACTTTGTAGAACAGGTCCAGTCCAGGAACCTAGGGTAAGAAAGATGCTAGTAGGCCAGAGGCGTGCCATTGGTAATCCAAGTGTAAAAATGTAGAACGTATGGAATGGTGTGTAACAGAAAAATCGTATCATAAACGCTTGTGTAATCAGAGGGACCTGAACGTAGGTCCAAATTTTTTGACAAGCCCCTGGGATCCCACAACTGAGCTATATTATTTGACAGATATGAAGGAGGAGTGAGGCCTTAGAAGGACGTAATAGTAGTGAGTAAGATTAGGGATACCTACTGGAACGTCGGGAACCAGGTAGACTGATGGTCGTTGAAGGCGTAGTGAATCTACGCGATGGTGCAGGTCTAAGTAATGATATGTAGAAATTAAAACTGAATTTTTATAACATTTAATAATAGTAACCTGGAGAGTGAGGCATCTTTTAACCTGGTGTGTTTAAAGTTTTCGAGCCCACTTTGGGAGGTGGGAGGGTATTGTAAAAAAGGCCGTGGAGGCTGAAATGAGGCCTCAGGAGAAACGTAAAATTTTTTTAACCTTATTTACCTGATACCGTGATACTGGATACTGGATACTGGAACCACCTCCTGGAGTCTTCTTGACTAAATAAGTAGTACAACCTAAAACATTTTTAAAATGAAGGAACCTGAGTATAGCGTTACAATATAAACAGAGATTTACAAATAAGAGCTACTGGAAAAGTGAGCGTGGAGTTGATAACTTTAAGAGGTTTGTGGGGCTAGTCACTTAATCGTTAAGGGGTGACTGTTACTTTAAGAGAATATGCCTGGGATGTATACATAATTAAATGTGACAAAGTCTGGTGAAAGATGCCATTTAGGATAAGGGAAAAATGTAGGTAGTGCTGTGAACATATATAAAATCATACATAGAGGAACATACTTAAATATAAAATTTTTAAAGTGCATAGACCTTATGCATTAGGCTACCGAACGTGCGAGAGAAATATAATACGACCGCGTGAGTTTTAGATTAATGAAAATGAAATGCTAGTGACCCAGCCGTTTGTATGTGATTCGTCTAACGAAAGTGAGAAACAGGTGAACATAAGGTGAGTGTAAGCGTTCGGTAGAATTTTGATAGCGTAAGAAAGAACGAAATTCATGTCTCCTCTGCGGTCAGCTAAAAATTGCCCGAACGCAGAAGTACATGAACGGTGGATTAACCGAACAGGTAAGTAATATTTAGGGAGCCAATCCCCGTGTTTTTAGACCCGAATGTGTGAAATAGCCGAACGCTATTCCCCACGTTGAAGCTTTCGTTTGCGTGCCGGTCTCGTGACCGGAAGCTCGACAGCCAGGTAGCGAGTCAGGAAAGCCGCGGGGCAGCCGGTGGATGGGCCCGGAAGGCTGATGCTGCTGGAGGGAGACTGTTAGCTTGCTGCAGAATTTTGGCGGGAACAGCTGACAGGAAATGCAGATAACTATGGTGACAGTCAAAACAGCTTGAACGGCAAAGGTAAGTAGCGGGGTAGGGTTTATATAGGGTCATAACTCCTCCCACAAATTTAGGCCAATTGGCCTTTCCAACATATATTATTTCGTTCTACGTGTATTTTGATATCAATATATATATATTTATTTTAAAATACAGTTAGAACGAAATTGCACATATATATATTTTTTTTAAATTAATTTCTTTTTTATTATTTTTTTATTTTATTTTTTAACATATTTACATATATATTTATTTTATATTTTATATAAATATATATATTTATAATTTTATATATATATATATATATAATCAATAACATTCTATGTGTACTTTGATATTAATATATATATATAGCTATATATATATAATTATATGTATATTAATATTAAAATACACTTAGACTATGTATGTGTATATATTTGTATGTATGTATATGTGTTTGTGTATATATATATATATATATATATATATTTACACTTAGATCATATATATATATATATAATAAATATATATACGATCTAAGTATATATAATTTAATTTTAAACTGTTATAACATTTATTTAATTTTTTTACAGGCAGCAGGGGGAGTACCTGTCATTACAGGCACTCCCCCTGCTGGCACTGACATGGACAGCTATGCCGGCTATGCTGTCCATGTGATCGCGAGGTCCTCGCAAGGACCTCGTGATCACATGGCCCATGGGGGCTGGAAAGGAAGGAGGGGGACTCCCTGGGCTGCCAGGGAAGTAGAAAGGACGGCCGGGTAAGTAGAAAGGACGGCGGGGACGTGCTATGCCGCCCCCTGGCGTTTAGATCGGGGTCCCCAAGGACAGCATAGCTTGCCCGCCGTCCTTAAGGGGTAAGCTGTAGTTGTTCTGGTGACTATAGTGTCCCTTTGAACAAAAGTTGAAAACAGTGTAAATCCTTGCAGATACAGATTGTCTCACATTGAGATCTGTAAAACAGCTGATCAGGTTGCACACAGCTCAACCAGTAAGCTGAGCTGAGCTACTCAAAGCAGCCCCCTATAATAAAAAGAAATATAAGTAGTTTAGTGACTCGTTCAGGAACCACTAACTCCTCAGGGAGTGAATGTCAGCAGGGGGTGTTGAGGAACAAAACTGTGGTAGAAGCTTTGCTGCTCACCCCACTATTAGTTAGGTAGCATGACAGGATATAATTGAATACCTGGCTTTACAACATGTGTTTATTTCCAGCTTTGCTTTCATTGAATTCCTGGAGAGTATCAGCATCACGCTGTTCGTGGGTAAAGATGCCGGGGACAGGACATAAAAAGGCGGGAAATGTCAATCTCTCTGTTAGTGTCGGGGTCTTAAGGCTGAAGCCCCAGGTGTTTCTGGAACCCAGCAACACACCTGGCTGCAGGTCTCCAGCAGTGTGTGTGTCTGCAGCAGAGTTCTGAGTCAAGAGATGCTGCTACTACAGGGGAAAAGCTTTGTTTTTTTATGATCTGTGTAGGTAGGGCCTATAGAAACTAAATTTAAAAGCAAATCACTCTCTGATGTGTCAATGTAGATTCTTATTCAGCCTTTCAAATGACATGTATCCTCATTGTGCTAGAATAACAGTTTAGATATACAAAAATAAGCATTTTATAATATCATATTAAATCTTCCCATACCATAGAGACATAGTGCCAGCTATTGCCAGGCATTGAGACAAATCTGTCACTTCCTGACAGGCCAGTAACATGCAATGGTTCTGTATAGCAATATAATGTGTTTAATGACTGGAGCATATTCGATATATGAATGAGGAAGATCTTCCATTGGAGCTTTTAAACTTATGGTGGAATCTGTTACCACAAACTATTAGAGCAAAGGGATAATGAATTAGTGGTTGATTTAAGGTACCGGTCATGCTACAGCGCTTCCTTGCAGCCTGGAGGATTGTAAAGCTATTATTAACTGAATTAGTGAAAGACATACAAAAATCCCCCTAAACCGAGTATATGTATAACTAGGCAGCAACTATAATAAACACAGAAACAAATAAATAAATAAATGTCTGGTCATTATGGGAAATGAAGATGCTTCTGTCTATATGTACCCTTTTAATAATAATAAGCATTTTTAAACTCTGTCTCTTCTCTTCATTCACACACTCCAGACTCTACATATTCATTACATGACGGTCAAAACAATACACAGTCTGTACCTTTCTGGTCGATTCTGTCTCTCTGCATTATTTCTATAGCCTTTAGTGAATGAGGCCCACTTGCCTGCTGGAACGGATTTTAGCTCGGCCCTAGACCTTCCATCTCCCCAGCTCTTGCTGTGAGCCTGTGTGTGGGCATCACCAAAACAAACACAAGTACAACACTCTGTTTCTCTCTCTGCACACATTTTCTCTATTACCTCCATACTGTGGCCTCCTTTCCATCTCCAGCTCAATGTTGTCTTTTTGTCTATGTCTCCCCCCTCTCTTTAATTCATTGCAGCTGTAAAAACCTCCTCGCCATCTCTTCTATCATGTGGGCAGATAGGTGAGTGGCAGGAAGAGAATCCCTCTTAAGCCACTGTGGATAATGTGTACCACATGTATGAACTGGCAACGCTCCCACTGACCGCAAGGCCCGAGCGACAGAGGGCTACAGTGAGGGAGAATAAAGCACTGAGCGGGATTCTAGTTGCCTTAAAATTAACATGTCAACTCAATCTCCCACAGCATATCTGTCTGTTTTAAAGTTAGCAATACCAAATGGCACATCTACTAAATACCTCAAATCATGCAGTTTCCAGGAAACAAAATCACCTTTTCCGACGTGACTGAATTATGATCAGGCTGAGGCAGGGCCAAATTGTGGGTAAAATTAGGTAAATTCCATCGACTTGTAATATATTTTGCCTCTGGCAGCTGTTCAATAAAGCACACCTGCCCATTCACTTCAATCGCCCAATATTGTGTATTACTGTAAATAGAAAACCCTTTGATTTTCTAATTACATACTGTGACAAGAAGGATTTAGGTTCACCATCCATCGCTTATATTTATACTGACCGCTGGAATTCAGTCACATTCCTCTTAACAGTAAGGAGTCTGGAAAAAGAAAGACATTTTTTACTACACAGTACACAGTACTGATAAACGTGCAGGGTTCTTTCCATTTTTGGTTCATTTTTTATTTATTGTATAGAAAATAATTTCCAAGTTAGAGAATTTAGGCCTCAATTTAATATTGTTGGATACGCTTTTCAAATAATGTAACATTTTGGAAAAACTTTTTAAAATGATTTAATACTATGATAAATATTAAAACGTTATATGTAAATATTTTCATATGTTTTGATATATTGTTATATTTTTTTTTTTTTACAACAATATTACATCAAGGTCATAATCTAAGCTGGAAAATTTAGGTTCTCTGGAAAAGAAAATCTCCTGATCAGCCCAAATTGCTGGGTTATGTCAGTCTCAGTTTTATCATTGGGATTTAATAATATTATATATTTTGGAGTCTAATTATCTACTTAGCATTCAAAAAGATAAGCATAAGAAAAGATAGATAGATAGATAGATAGATAGTTTTTTTTTTTTACTTGCACACTAAAGTATTGTGGGCATGCATCTGCATAACTATTGTTCAAGTTCCTGCATAGAATACTATGAGAGAGTTTGTACACGTTACATTGGATGCATGTATGCACAAAACCCAGGCATTAAGTCAATAGATGTCACAGCACCCAGCTCCTCTCCAGGCTCCTTTGCTGGCATGGCTGCACAAACACTAAGCAGCCACTCCGATAGAAATATTTCTGACTTACCTTGGTTCTCGGGGGTCTTTGTAGTATTTGGTTGATTGGAAGGGTTATGGGCCTGCCGATCGTTCTTGGGTTTCTGCTTCAGGGGTACATGCAGGCTGCAAAATCGGTTCCTTCCATGCCAGGTTTCCCCTCAAGCCTGGTCCTGCCAACCCGTTGGGTGGTCTTCAAGTGGGGGGTACCGTCATGGTTCCCGGCTCCTCTGCCGGCGTGGCTGCACAAAAACTAAGCAGCCACGCTGACAGAGATATTTCTGACTTGCCTTGGTCCCAGCGGGAAGCTGCGCAGTCTCCCTCTGTTCTGGTCCCATTTTTAGGAACACCAACCGCTGCGGTTCAGATTTTTATAGGAAACTTACTTTCGCCCACATCAAAGATGGCGCCAACGTGCGTGCGACATCACATTATAGACATGCACGCACATTTTGGGGTCAGAGATCAGAGACAGCCAATTGCAGCCTAAGGAGGGTTATTTAAACCCAAATTACCTTTTTGTCAATACCCTGTTAAGGTTTCCACTAGCTGGTTAGCCGAGAGTGTGTTCCTGATTGCCCTTTTCTGGTATTTGACTTTGGCTTCGTTTTGACTTCCCTGATTTCTGTTATCCTTGACTTTTAGCTTTCCTCATTATTGTGTCTCATTCTGTGTCCCTGACCTCGGCAAATATTTTGACTATTCTCAGGTACGTTAAGTCCGGCCATTCTAAGGTCCGGTTAGACTTTATCCTTAGTTCTAGGTGTGATACCATTCTGCGTGCTGGATCAACTATAATCCTGACAATAGAGTAGAATGCTTAGTGTCACTTGTATTTAATAACCAAGGCATATAGAATGGTGAATACACTGAAAATGTCTCATTGATGCACTACTACCTCTATAAGCATTTACTTATGTATTGCATAACAGAAGAAATGATAGGATATGTTTAAAAGCAAAAAATAAACACTGCCCCTTTTCTGGTCCACAAGGCGTATAGTCATTAGGTAAGTTTGTGGTAGAAGAATGAGAAGACATTGTCATCCCACTAGATTTCCAAAACTGTACCATAAATCATAAACACAGACAATAACCTGTGTGCAGTAAGTACTATATTGTAAACCATATTGTGCCCTATCTACATCATCAGACTTCAGGACTGTGCGCACTCTTTATCGTTCAAAGACACCCTTTTTTTTGGCAATGAGGGGTTAATATCTAACAGATTGGACGCATTTAATTTAATAAATTCCTTGCACTCTCCTCTAACCTCATTCCAGCTTTTTGCTTATGCAAATATACAAGTAATACATAGATCAAAAGAGTTCCTTAAACCATGAATTACCTGACTCACACACTTTCTCCTGTCTCCTAAGTCTGTCTTCTTAGACTGATAATATGCTACATTCGAAGCTCTACTTCTTAGACTCTTGCTGTGTGCTTTGCTTGTCTATGGCAGTATGAAAACAGCGATGTATTAAATACAGGGTCCTCCTGGAATGTGCTAATGTGTTTGCTTCATAAGGTGAAATGCTGGTGTATACCCAGTAGGTATGCTCAAACCAAGCAACTAAAATAAATCACACAAGTGGTATGGAAGATTGAAGAAGTCGTGTCTTAGCTAAAGAATGATTTGCATAGCAGTTAATTCTCTTGCTCTCTGCATGCATTTAAAAAATCACTGTTAAAATGGCAAATTCAAACTTTCGAGTGATGATCGATGTTGACACGTCACTACATTTGTAAGAGCACATTACAGCTATTTACAGCACTGTTTTAATGGCATGATGTAGGTTTTAATGTTAGTGAGTAATTAGTCCATGTATGTACGTAGTAGGAACTGGAATGTAAGATGAGAAGAACAGAACCTAACTCCAATATACCCCAATAACGACAGACACTGATATTTGGATGAAACAGGCTACAGCATTTATTAAAACATATTATAAGTACTGCATAAAACGTTCATAATTTTATCTAAAACGTTATCATTCTCATGAATATAACTAATCATAAATATATAAATAACCCATTAATTAACACATAAATTAACAAATAGTGTCATACAGTATTTACATAGTTACATAGTTATATAGCTAAAAAGAGACTTGAGTCCATCAAGCACAGCCTTCCTCACATTTGTTTTTTGAATTTGATCCAAAAGAAGGCAAAAAAACCAGTTTGAAGCACTTCCAATTTTGCAACAAACTAGGAAAAAAATTCCTTCTTGACCCCAGAATGGCAGTGAGATTTATCCTTGGATCAAGCAGCTATTACCCTACATTGAAAAAATATATCCTTGAATATTCTGTTTTTGCAAGTATGCATCTAATTGCTGTTTGAACATCTGTATGGTCTCTGATAAAACCACTTCTTCAGGCAGGGAATTCCACATCCTTGTTGTTCTTACAGCAAAAAAAAAGACAAAATCTTCTTTCTTCCAGTCTAAACACATGACCTTGTGTCCTATGTAAAGTCCGGTTTGTGAATAGATATCCACACAATGGTTTGTATTGGCCCCGAATTTAACTTAAGTAAACATCTTTGCCAATAAAACTCACCAGGTGCCTATGCACAAAATTGTCCAGAGGGTTCTCACCTCCCCTTTCGTCCACCAAATTCCCTTTTCCTTCCAATGCTTACGACTAAAAAGCTTCTAGCTCAGTGGGCACGTACAAATAGGTAACTTATACGTTTACCCTACAAAGCAGGGGAGATTGAGAACTGAACCTTGACCACATCATCACACTTGCTGTAACAGCCCCCCAAACCGATTGGCAATGACATACCCCCCGCCAGCTGTGACACAAACTACAACAATGAACAAGGGGAGGAAGGGTGGGAGGGAAGTTGTTTGCTGGCCCGAATCCCACGTGGCACTGAGGTAAGATGGTCCTACACCACTAACCTAACACATAACCACTCTCATACTCACATACATAACCAATCACAAGCATCCATAACCAACCTCACACATGTGCCCTGGTCCACTTAGCTGTTCTATCTCCCCAAAGCCTTGACTGTGATGTCATCATAAATCTAGTGAGACAAAAGAGATACACATCAAGAATGGTCAAAAGCTAAGAACAAGAGGAGTCAGTTACGTAACAAACCTTTGACCAAAATAAATATGCATGATCCCATAAAATTACCTATCACCAACTTTCATTGCCTTCAAATATATATAAAAAAAATGACTGCCAAACATTTGTTTTAACATTGGTGGGACTTTTGTGTGTTTTAGTGAACATAATGAAACAGTTGCAGAGTTATTTACTAAATTCTGATTTTTCACAAATTAATTCCAAATTATAAACCTCAGGCAAAAATAGTCTGGCTATCACTATAGCTGGATTGGAATTGTTTTCCAAATCTGCTCTTTTTACCTCAGTTTTGTTATTTATAAATCATTTTTAGTGTTTAGTGATCAGCGCCGTGTGTATTATGCTAACCGATTTAGCATAGCAGCTCAAGTAAATGTGCTTAAACTGAGGAACAAAAGCCAATCAATTTCTCCAGTATACAAATTGTTAAGACCATG